AGGTGTGTGTGTGTAGAAGGCTCCTGGTTGATGATGATGGGAATTAGAAGTGGGGGTGGAAGAGAAGGGAGAAGAGAAGGAAGTGGGGGTAGAAGAGAAATCACCCCATGCTTCATGCCGTCATTTCACCCATAAAATTTTAAGTTCATTAGGTGTAATTCAAGATTATTTTCTTTAAATCAACATTGCACTGCACTATATATTGTCAATATGTTATATAAATTTCAGAATGACCAACATATTACTGTACTCACTTTGTACACAAATGTACTAAGCTAATGAACTAAACATTTTATCTCTTCTGCAAACTTTGAGATGATTATACTCAAATTAATCTCAATCTTGCAAGAATTCCAGCAATGCAAGTTATATCCTACTAAGTCATGTCTGTGACATTATTTAAAAGAAAAACAATTAAACCTAAAATCACTTTCATCCCATTAATTGTTATCACCCCACCACCATCTGCCTCCCCTGCTGGCTGGGAGGAGGGGAGAAGGGGAAGTGGAGTGTTGACAGCCAGGAGCCAGGTGCATAGTTGTCAGTGGAGGGGTCAGAATGGACTCAGGATTATAAAAGATGTTGCTTAAGTTTTTCGCTTATAAAATGCCACTGACTTGACTTAGCAGAATATAACTTGCATTGCTAGATTTCTTACAAGATGGCGATTAATTTGAGTATAAGCATACCAGAGTTTGCACTAGACATAAAAATGTTAGTAATTAACTTAGTACATTTTAGTACAGGTTGAGATAATTTATGCATTGTGGTTGCAGATGTGAAGCTTCGTGACATCACTAGTATATAATGCATCTCCATATGTCCTGGTTTATTCACTGATCAGTTGTCTAAGTGCAATAGTAGCCGAATCGAGCTATCATGTATCAATTAATTTTAAAATAAAAATCATAAAGTCAAATGTTATAAGACAATACAGTACCCTATAGTTTAGTAGTGCTGTATAAGTGTCTTGACATATCGACTCACTCTTCCCACCCACGCACCAACCATGTGAGGATGCGGCTAAACATGGTGCAATCTTTGATAACGCTGGGAACCTTTGTCCCCAGGCCCGGAGCAGAAAGGTTTGGGGTGTTTTATATCATTATTTAGCTTTTTGATACATTTAGTACACTTGCCATAGGCTGAAGTAGGTTTTACTGTATTAAGTACCTGAGGTGTGAGCATATTAACGGAATTAATCTTCATAAGCAAACTACTAGTTCATTAAATCGAGTGAATGCTGCCTAAAGTGCCTAAGAGAAAATAGACATCACACTCCAGCAGTCCCACCAGTGGTTCATCATGAATGTTGACTGCTGGGTCATCAACCTCAGAGAGTGAGTCAGCCCATTCTCCATTGCACTTGTTCCAGAGTTAGTCAATGCCATTTTCCTCAGATACCTAACTCTGCCAAATCAGCTTAGAAGTTCCACAAGTGTTTATGTCCCCCGACAATGAATAAACAATCACCCCAGTGTAAATACTGTAGTCTACATAATAATAGTTTATACAGAACAGTAAGTTAATCTAGTAAACTAGTACTGTACATAGTGTAATGTAATTATAAGTGAAAATAGTGTTAAGTGCCCCCAGTGCTGCCTTGGAACAAATTGCCTCCTACAGTTGCCATTTATGTACACAGTACTGGGAAGTACATCACAATAAGTTGTTACAGTACGTATTTTTATACAGTATGTCAAAATTTAAACGTTTTAACCTAACCTAACCATACTTTAAACTAACCTAAATCTGGGACTGTAAAGTTATCCCTCGTTTAACAATCGTTCACTTAACGATTTTTCAGTTTAGTGATCTTCGACTCAATGGGAAAAATTCAGGAGGAAGTCAGAAAAACTGGGGATTCTGTGCTCCAAGTGTGCATCATTGCAATACTCTAGTGTGACTTAGAAATGAAGAAAATATATATTATATTTTCTTCATTTCAGTCCGAAAATCTTGAGTGCTCGTGGATTGGGTTGGTCCGGATTCTCGGGCAGTACTTTTAAAATTCAAATTTAAGGAGGAATAAAGAAGAGATGAACAGGTAAATTTTGATAGTTTATTCATTAGCAAATACTCAGACAAGGCTGTGAATTCTAGAATTTTATTCTTTGCCTTTTTTATGTCGTAAATTGTAGACTTTCCGATGTCGTATGTTTCCATTAGAACAGTATTGCTCACACCACGTTCTAGTTTCCTAATTATTTCAAGTTTGTCACTCAATTTCAACATGTTTTTCTTCCTCTTCACACAACGAAGTTTATCTACTTTAGGAGCGATTATTATGGGCTTGTAAATACGTATGCTATATATGGTAAATGAAAAGAGTAGGACACAAAATTACATACGATGTCACAGTTTGATTGCTCGTTTTAAAATGGCGACCGCGTGGTCGCTTGTTGTCGCTGTGCAGCTGTGGCGCTCACGCATGAGCACACACACACAAAAGCCTGCTAAATCTAAAGTTTGAGAGTTTTCGAAAAGTCCGGGTTCTCAGGTGGTCCGGATTTCTGGCATCCGGATTTTTGGACATTAAAAGTACAGTGAACCCTCGATGATCTGGACTAAAAGGGGAGACCACCTGTCTGAAAAAGCAGATTGTTTGAATCTTCCGGCAACTGTACTAAATGTATAAAAGCGATAAATAATGATGTAAAATACACCAAAAATACAGTACATATTATCCTACCACTGGGGTTAGTTATACAGGCTTTTCCTGTGAAAAAGTCATCATTTTGAACAACATTAATGTATATGTACTACACTAAAGGACTAAAAATTTTATCTCTTGTGCAAACTATGAGATGTTTATACTCAAATTATTTGCTATCTTGCAAGGATTCCAGCAATACAAGTTATATTCTGCTATGTTTAGCCTGTAACATTTTATAAGATATTTATAAGATAAAAACTTTAAGCCTAAAACTACCTTCACCCTGTTTTGGGAATGCTTCTTAGCCCAGAACCCCCAAATTTTTTGTCTGGATCTTCTGAAATCGGGAATTACAGGGTCCGAATCTTTGAGGGTTCATTGTATACAGTATGAACGTATGTACTGACAAAATTGTAAAAAGTACTGTATTTTGTTACTTAAGTTGTTTTTTTGTTTTTTATGGGGATTAGCTCACCAGGGCACAGGTCACTGACCCACATCAGGGCCAGGGGGGCGAAAATGTAATAGTAATAGTAATAGTAATAATAATAATAATAATAATAATAATAATAATAATAATAATAATAATAATAATAATAATAATAATAATAATAATAATAATAATAATAATAATAATAATAATAATAATTCATAGTAAATAAAATTTATAATAAAAATACATAAATTAAAAATAAAATAATGAAATAATAATAATAAAGAACCATAAAGAAATACAATAATTAAAAAAAAATCAATAGTCAGAAACATTACAGTACAGTATTACCTCGCTTTACGCGGTTTCACTCTCCTCAATTTCTCATTTACACGGTGCCTCGCCAGAACCGAACTTTCACTTTCCGCGGTGCATCTACTCATATACACGGGAAGCGGCGCGGGCAGGATGCGCACAAGGTCGCCCAGTCATCAAAACATTACCGAGTTCTTCACCCACCACCCACCACAGCCGGCCTAAGTCAGTGATAGTGATAGTGAGGATATGGACTTTGAGGGGTTTGACAAAGAGGCCCTGCAAGCCTATGTGGTGGATAGTGATACAATTGATACAAGTGATACAGGTGAGGGCCAATAATCTGCCCTCTGCCTCGGAACCAACCCCCCATCCCTGTGTGCCCAGCCATCTTTTCTACTAATGTGTGTTAAAAAAACTAATATTATTGATATTTCTCTTAATTATTAATTGTGTGTGCATACCATCATAAAGTTAAGATAATATTTTTACTACAACATAGTTGTGTGTCGTCAAAAAGTGGAGTTTGGGGTCAGGCCAGTCTCTATTGGAATTAATCCCATATGTTCTGTTGTTCACTTTACGCGGTTTTCACTTTACGCGGTACCCTGTGGGTTCAATTGACCGAGTAAATCGGGGTACTACTGTATATGTATGTTGTGTTGTCAACGTAAGAGGAACAATTGAAACCATACTTAAGTAAAAGTACTAAAATATTTGAGTACCTTTTAAAAAGTAAATACTGTACCCAAAAATTTTACCCGAGTATAGTATAGTACAGTACAGTACTCAAGTAAATTTATTTAGTTATTTTACAACTCTGTGTACTGAGGCAATGAGCCAAGTTGTAGCTATGGCCAGCCAGCCCCCTCAACCATGTGAAGTCACAGCATAAAGGCAGCAGGCTTGCTGAACTGGGAATGGGGAACCAAATAACAAAACAAAACAGAAAAACCTGAGTATTGCTACTGTAGCACAAATTCAGAAGGACTAAATTTTGTTTATGGTTTCTGAAGAGAAAGCCCACTGCTTTGTTCCTGAGAAGTGTTTTTTTTTCTGGAATACATTGGTACTAGAGCATAATGCATTTTTCCTTATGTTTGAACTAGCTATTTGTTAGGGCTCAAAAATAAATACAGTATTACCCCGCTTTACACGGTTTCACTTTCCGCGATTTCTCATTTACGCGGTACCTTGCCAGAACCGGACTTTCACTTTCCGCGGTGCATCTACTCATATATGCGGTGAAGTATAATTTCTTTTTTTTTTATTTAGCTCATAAAATTCATACAAATTACCCGGCCAGAATATAATTTACATTGCTGGAATTCTTACAATATGATGATCATTTTGAATATAAACATCATGGATTTTGCATTAGACATACAAATTTTAGTTCTAATGTAATAATTTGGTTTACACAAAGCAAATATTTTATCATTTGTGCAAAATATATGAAGTTTACATTCAAAAGATTCCCTGACCTGCAAGGAATCCAGAAATGTCAATTATATTATCCTAACTTTTGTCTGAGGTATTATTTATTACTAAACGTTAAAATCTAGTGTTTTCACCCAAACATTTCTCAGAGAGGTAGGAGCTAGTGAGCTGGGAAGAGGGGGTACTACTGTATTACTGATTAATGCATTTAATTTTTCATAAACTCTATGCCTCTATTTCTTCATCTTCTTGTTTGGAGAGTTTCTGTTTGAAGGTGGTGTCTTGCTTTTACCTGAGGGATAAAAAAGAATAGATGAAATTCAACACAAGTTCCAGCTTTCAGCAGAGATCAGAAAAATAAATTATATCACATTGATTCAATAATGCTAAGTAATGGTAAAAATGAAGGAATGATCCTGAAATTCCATTTAATAATCAAAGGAGGATCAATCAATTCTGTACAGGAAGTAAGTCTACAGGATTTAAATCCCAATCTCCAGAGCCCCAACTTGTGTGTCTGGGATAAAAGATTGGGAAAAAATTGGAAGCTGGATTATCATTCACCTTCATACAGGACAGGATACCTATTGGAAAGTAAGTACTGTATACCCTAAAAACGAAAACGGCTGAATAGTTTTTGTTGTTGAGCATAAACAATTTTCTTGACACTGGCTAGAGTATGTTGGCAAGAGGACTAACATAATTTCATCTCACTTCAGTATAATACCCCAAAAACAAGAGGAATGGGTGCCAAGTTGTTCACTCTTTACTTGGTTATAAAATATGATTGCTGGATTAGTCCCTAATGGGAAGGAGGTGGCCAAAGTGGCTGACTCTCAAACCATAAGGGCAGGCACTTGCTAAGAGAATGTGAAATGTTTGCCTTACTTCAAGTTACATACGTATAAAAAAAAAATTATAACCCTTTTGGTAGTATGAGAGAGGTCATTTATCCAACATTCCAAAAACCAAATACAGTACAGTATATCCTAAAACCAAGTATTTTGAATGGATCCTACTGTAAGTATGAAGGCATATAAATCTGGGCACAGTTATTCCTCTGTTTATGAAAGGGAGGCATTCCTACAAATTGTTTTTGGACACTGAGATTTTCTATACAGTACTGTGATTTTTTTTTTCATTAATTTAAAGCAAAAAATTAGGAATGTGTTCTGAGCAGTCTTCCCAACCCCTTTCCTACCCTAAAAATAATTAAACTCCTTTTATAAAACTACTGTAAAAGAAGGTACTCTCTCTAGAACAAATGGCTCCCAGTCCTGGCTGCGAAAATGCCAGCAACCTTTAAAACTATCCTTAGACATTCTTGGTTACATCCAGGGTGTCATCCGCAAATAATCGAGGTCCGAGAATTAAATGTCCTTTGAATTGTCAGGGCACGCTGTACTGCATTGCCATTAGGCAACCATTTCACGAAGGACACAGTTGACAGGAGTGCGCTACCCGCTCCCATAGACTTGGGCTAAATCCCATGAACGTAAGAAATGTTTATTCTCCTATAAACAATATTTTTGACCTTATGATAATAATTTATTTATTTTTGTTTTGTTTTTATTTTTGCACATTCTGTATGAAAGACAGTGTGTGCATGTAACAGTATAAAAAAAAAAATATATATATATATACTGTGTATATATATATATATCTTGATAAAATCACACGGGAAAAGGGAAACAACGGAGCACCTTAGCTTTCGTCTTTATTCAAGACATCTTCAGAAGCAACTGAAGATGTCTTGAATCAAGACGAAAGCTAAGGTGCTCCGTTGTTTCCCTTTTCCCGTGTGATTGTATCAAGATTTATCTTATCCACGTTTTCATTGTGGATCTACATGAAATATATACTGTATATAAATACAGTGGGGTATGCTATAACGAACGTAATTGGTTCCAGAACCTCGTTCGTTATAGCATTCGTTAGTTATAGGATTAATCCGTTCCAGGCCCCCAAATACAACCGCTTAACACTGAACAAATTCTGTGGAAAATGTAAAAAATACGGTACTTTATCTTACCTTAGTGTTATTCAGCATGCAGGTACCCCTAAACACTGGCACATCACTATCACTTCCACTGGGAGTCTTGGCTTTAAGGTCCTCAAACAATTGTTTAGCCTTCTCACAAATTATAGCTTCACTAATGTTACCACCTGCCATTTCTTTCTCCTTTATCCCCACTAAGAGTAAATTTTCCATCTCTTCAATCACATTACACCTTGCTTTGCTAAGTCTAAAGATTCCCTTAGCCACTTGCACAGTTTTTAACTCCTCTTTATTCTTCAAAATCGTACATATAGTCGATTTAGCCATCCCATATTCATCACTAAGTTTCGCAATGCTTCTTCCATTCTCACGTTTCTTTATAATTTCTTTCTTAGTTTCAAGGGTTATTAGCTTTCTCACTCGCTTTGGACGACTCATTGTTACAATTGTATACTTGTATAACAAAATAGTTATACAAATAACGCGAATTTCCACATCAAAAGACGAAATTTCAACAATAACAGTGGTGCACTGGCTACACAATGAGACAAAGATGGCGCCTGACGCTCTTGTTGTGGGTCGCGGTACAACAATATTCATGCGCCAGGCGAAATAGTCCGGTATTCATCCGCGTTCGTTGTAGGAGTTAGTTCGTATAGGAATATTCGTAGTAGGATCCGTTTATAGCATACCTGTATATATATATATATATATATATATATATATATATATATATATATATATATATATATATATATATATATATATATATATATATATATATATATATATATATATATATATATATATATATATATATATATATATATATATATATATATATATATATATATATATATATATATATATATATATATATATATATATATATATATATATATATATATATATATATATATATATATATATATATATCCAAAACTACAAGTTGAAAAAGAACAAGAAGCAGCTAAGAGCTTGGCCTGGTAGGAGAGGCTGAGATCCCCGACACCACACCTTCCTCCCACTCCCCTTTTTGCCATGATCCAAAGTTAACTCCAGTGGATGTTTTTGACCTTATGATAATCATTTCTTTTAGTTTTTTTTATTTACACATTCTGTATGGACGATTGCTTGTGCATGTAACAGTAAAACTAAATAAGTAAATAAATAAATATGATGTTGCTAGCAAGAGGTTGGCACACACCACTATGATATATTTTGTAACTACAAGAATACAGTACAGTACTTTTGTATTTGACTATGGGAACTTATGAAAATTTGATGAGAAATTTTTCAATATTTTATATAAATCTTAAGTTTTATATAAAAATTATGAGTAAATAAAAGTAAATTTTTTTTTTCATATGAACACTTCATAATCATATGCAGTACAGTGCAAATAAACATTTGGGGCAACCAGACAAGCACTAAGCAGATCAAGATGCATATCAGGACAAAGCCCCAAGAATAATTAGCCTACCATAATCAGTATCAATTATTGCTAAGCAACTGGATGCAGGGGCGTGGTGCCTTTGTCCATAATATACAATATTTAATAACATAATTAAGCTCAATGAGGCCCTATTTAGGGTGGCAGGAAGTTTAAACACATTGCAACATTTTATAACAAAAACATACCTTTGTGTATGGCTAAATCATAAAAATTTAATTACAGGTAATAAATATTCATGACTGTAGTCCAAATATTCCTTAAGTTTCAAATTCTAAGTTTGGCCACTTTTTACAAAATCACAGAGAACAAGCACTGCCACACATAAAATCAGCTGACAACTATCTACATCAAGAGTGTGGGTGGCAGTATTTTCATACAAGGTGACAGTGAGTATTTTTTTGTATCTTCCTTTACTGCTTATCTAGTATCAAGGGTGCCAGTTTTCTGGACATCTGAGGTTCTGCCTTACCATAATATAGTAATAATAATACAGGTTGTACCTCTCTAGTCTGGCAACCTCGGGACCTGACCGGTGCCGGACCATGGAAATTTCCGGACCATGGAAATTCACCCTTTTCCTGGATAGATAGTGACTTGTGCTTACGCTTGGAAGCACTCGCACCACTTTCTCTGCTTCATGGTCTCTTTGAAGACATATTGAAGGGTTAAATGTCGTACAGTAGCTTCTCATATTTCGCGAGTTTTTAATTCGACGTTTTCTATTTGAACACAAAAAACCAACACATTTAAAAATTTCGACGGCGCAAACTCGAATTTCGACGGGTTTGAACGGCCCACCAACCTTCAGATGACATGCACAATCCTGTAAACAGCGTCATTTCTCTTATGTCAAAGAGATTCATTATTGTTTATTACTGAAAGTCTTTTTCATTGAATTAATGTTTGTGTGTGCAAAATGAGCAATACAATTCATTAATAATACGTAGAATATTAAAACACGAGGAAATGAGACAGCATTGTTTTCGTTGATTACAAAACCAGTGATTGACTGGTTCTACGTATAAAACTGAAGAAAATAAGACCCTGGTTGTAGCTGTAGTAAAATTAATATGGTTGTTTTAAGTAATATTATTTAATGTTAATAAATGGAACAATAGAAGTAGCTAACGATAATGGTAAAGAAAAAAAGAGAGATTGCGTATGTAAGTGCGCACACGTGAAAACATATCATCATTACTTTACATAAGAATATGAAAGCAACACTTATTTGCTGTTCATATATATTTTAATTAATGTTTCTGAATTTGTTTTTATTGAATTAATGTTTGTGTGCAAAATTAACAATACAATTTATTAATAATACGTGGAATATTAAAACACACGAGGAGACAAGACGGCTGCCAGCATTGTTTTTGTTAAAGCTTACAAAACCAGTGACTGATTGGTTCTACATATAAAACTGAAAAAATAAGACCCTGATTGTAGCTGTAGTAAAATTAATGTAAAAAAATTAATATGGTTGTTTGAAGTACCTGTAATGTTATTATGTTAATAAATGGAACAATTTAAGTAGCTAACCATTAATGGTAAAAAAAAGAAGTGAGACTGCGCGTATGTAAGTGTGCACATGTGAAAACATATCATCATTGCTCTACATAAGAATATGAAAGAAACACTTATCTACTGCTCATATATATTGAAGGGTTAAATGTTGTACTCTGTACAGACAAGCAGAGAGAGAGAGAGAGCAGCCGAACTGCCGGATGTAAACAAACCTTAATTTCCCGCGGCTTTGTTGTTGTTTTTTTTCACGGTGATTAGCCCACCCGGGCGTAGGTCACTGACCCACATTGGGGCCTGAGGGGCATAAATTTAATACTCCTGTAATAATAATAATAATTCAGATAAGTAAAAAAAAAAAAGAAAAAAAAAGCTGCCTATCTACCTATTGGACAAACTAAAATCGTTCCGGACCACAGAATGCCGGACTAGAGAGGTACAACCTGTAATAATATCTTACCAGCAGCGTAAGCCTTACTCATACGCTCCAAGTTCTGTTTTCTGGCAATGTCATGGTCAACAATGGGTTTTGGGTAGTCCTGGCCAATGATGCAGCCAGCTGCTTTCTGGGTGGACAAGGGTGCCTTCCAGGGCTCGTAGATGTAGTTGTCAGGGTACTTGCTCAGCTGAGGCAAGTACTTCCTGAAATGTATTAAAAGCCTAGTGTGACTAACTTTGACTAAAAAATACATAAAATAGTTAAAAGAATGTACAGAAAACTTTTGATAACGCTGCATTCAATATCTCTGAATTTTATATACAGTAATTTGAAACCTGTATGGTCTCGGAATTTATTTCAAAATAACTCGAGAAATGCTAAATTCTATAAAGTTATCTGGGCATATTTGGCCACATGGGTAACACTGACCACTCTGCACTCCAAGTTTGGTCAGTCTGGTGTTTGTTATTGTTGAAGTCAGGAGTGTGCTGGCTCACTCCATCCAGTAAATGGACGTGAGAAGGGAAGGTGCTGTAGCACCCTAATACTTTGGGTATAAAGTACTATACTACATTGCACCGCAGAGTATCTAGGGCACCATAATTAATATTCATCACACCCTGGTAAAATTTGGTTCCTGCGGTACTAACTCAGTAACATCCAGCAACCTCCCCCATGCATGTCCGGCCAGCTACTGTATGCAGAATGTCTTGGCAACGATTTTGTAGGGCTAATGCATTGTATACCTCCCATACAGTGGAACGTGTTATAGCCATCAATAGTTCGCACGTCAAAATCAGCGCTGTCAAAAACAAACTCCGAGAAACCTCTTTCCATAACTTCTGGGGACTGTTGCATGACGGCTAAGGCTTCATACAGAGCTGTTTCTTTGTATGAGGCGCAAATGCCCACCTTTGACAAAATATCAAACATCAGCTTTGATTCACAATATGAATCTGCGACAGAAAAGATCGTGGCCTAACAGCAGAAATAATGTTGTGAGCTATGACATCACATTTTTTTCCAGTTGTTCTATATCCCTACTCTTTTCCCTTTTATGATGACATCTTTCAGAAATGTATGAAGGGACACAGGGATCACTTTTCTTACATCATTGAGGTCTGCTGGTGGTGAGTACTTGTCATCCTTATACACCTGTGATCGGATATCTTCCCTTATAATGGCTGCTGCTGTCCGAATTATTCTCAAACGCTCTTCATTTTCATTTCTTTCCTTAGTGTAACAGGTACCAAATAAAACTGCATCATGAGTGTCACAAAAACAGACCATAGTAGGTTTATACGCAACATCAGAAAAATTATATTGTCATCATAGTTCTCTATTAATTTCTTCTTTAATGTCACTTCTGCCTGCATATATTCGTCCATTAACTGCATTAATTCCTGTAATGAAAATTAGCAGTCATCACTGTCTTCACTGAAAGAACACACTTGGGCAAATGCTGATGCAAGGTCTTTTATCGGTGGTTGGCCTCTTTTCACATTTGCCAACATGCTTTGCAAAAAGGATGAATTACAGTTTTCATGATATACAGCTTCTTCAGCGACCAAGCAAGATACACCACATATTCGACTGCCTACTTCTTTTTCCCAAGAATCACCCCCGTTCATTCGCTTTCTCCAGAACCTTTTCTTTGAAGCCTTAAGTCCTAACTTTCCAAATTTTCCACTGCCTATGTACAGGTTTCTTCTTTTCTGAATCTCTATTACATACTTCTGAAGAAAAAAAGCAGCAACTCCTGAAATCAAATGCAGAAATTGCAAATCTCAATTTTCCTTTCACCGGAGAAGCTGTCAAACTTCCATTTTCTGTAGTACCTTTCAATCACTTCTTTACCTTGGCTTTAATTGTACCTTCCCTTGTGTATTCCTTCCTATGGTTTTCATGTACTCTTACTGTTTGCCTGTCTTTCCACAGAGTCCATTTCCCATCTTCTTACAGTTCACTGACTCTAGTTATTGTCGGAAGACCTCTCTTGACAGAGACTACACAGCCTGTGGAGAGGCTTTCATCATATAAAGGACATACAGTGACCCCTCGTTTAACGAACACCTCGGTTAACGTAATTTCGATTAACGAACTGCCTTCCATAAGGATCTTCAATTCGGTTAACGAAAAAAAATTCGCTTAACGAACTTCTTACAAACCGACCTCAACATGTTTTCGCTTGCACTGACCAGGCAACCAGCTTTAGTATCAGTCCGCCAATACATTAATCGGTTCTAGGGCTTAAATTCCTTACTATTTTTGTAAATATCAAGAAGTTTATACTATTCAATAATTTTAAAAGTTTAATATTCAATTTTTTAGTCATTTTAACAATTATTGAACAAAATTGAAGGTAAAGTGACTAGTTTAATGCGCGGCATCCAGCCTCTTAACACAGCAAACAGGCGTCAGTCTCTCTCTGTTTTCACTGGAGGTAACATCTTGCTTGAGACTCTCTTCAACTAAACGCTTTTTTTCTGTGTTTCCAAGCAAATTATTGGTCATTTTGAAATATATTTTATATATTGACAATATATAATGCAGTGCAGCGTTGATTTAAAGAAAATAATCTTGAATTAAACCAGAGAGCTAAAATTTTATGGGTGAAATGGCACCATGGGGTGACTTCTCTTCCACCCCAATGCCTTCTCTTCTTCCTTCTCCTCCACCCCCATTCTAAACCCCATCATCATCATCATCATCCAGGAGCCTTCTACATACACACCTCAAAGTAAGTGAACTTTTCTACCATTTTTGTTGAATTTAGGAAATTTTCGGTGAGCTGGAACCAATTACCCAAAAACCCATTGAAACAATGGTTTCGGTTAACGAACGACCTTCTGGAACGGATTGAGTTCGTTAACCGAGGGGCCACTGTAGTTCTTCCATTTTCAGCAAGATTTTTCAAACTGTTTGTAATTAAATATCACTTTATTGTTCACCACATAACATACAGAATTCTTCCATTTTAAGTATACATTAAGTCCTCGCTTAACGTTGTCCCGTTAACGTTGTTTCGGTACTACGTCGCTGAACTTAAGAGACTGGGACGGTGATCCGCTACTACTCTCTCTTGGCTCGGCACGCTGCCCTCACTCGCGAAACGTCACAGCGTCCCCAGCGATGCCAAGCCATTCTCTGTTACGACTTCACATCATTCATGTGTACTTAAGTGTCTTTGCTCTAAAATTGTACTATAACTATTCAAAATGGCTTCCAAACGCCCATTTGCTACTGATGCAAGTGTAGTGAAGAGGCAACGTAAGACCATTACCCTTGCTACGAAAATGGATGTATTAACCCGATTTGAAAAATGGGAACGTGTTGTGGACATAGTCGCTGTGCTTGTTCTAACCCCCACAACAGGATGTACTATCCAGACCAATGCTGACAAGATTAAGGTTAGTGCTGGAGGTTAGTGCTGGAGACATCACTGTATATATCATTTCAGTAAGGTTGGCCATTTCACATTAGTAACTGAAAAATAGAAAAGCAAAAGTGACATTTTATTCTTGTTTCTTTTTTCCCCACTGGAACATTAAACAGTGTCAAAATTAAAGGCCACGGCCTTATGTCGGACTATGAAAGCTGCGGCTAGCCCGCCCAGTTCGAAATATTGCTGAAGGGTGTCATAACTTTTCATTTGCAAATAAGCAATACATGCTTTGCAAATATCGAATAGAGGTGTTAAAATATCAAATGCAGATAAGCTGGGTTGCAAATAGCGAGGTATTCCTGTATATCATGTTCTTCAAATGACATTTTGTTATCATCTACCATTTCCCTGTCCTCTTCCTTCTCTAACCTCTTAAAATTAAATTTGCTTATTTTCATCCTTCATATTGTATACGGTACTTTTGGCTTCTTTCTACTGTTTTAATTCATGTAAAACATGAAGTCTATTTTGATTTGTAAAATTAACATTTATATTTGAAAAATGTTAATGAATATTGTTCTACTTTTTAAGTACAGTGGTCCCTCGGTTAACGAACGGTTCGGTTAACGAAATTTCGGTTAATGAATTACCTTCCATAAGAATCTTCAATTCGGTTAACGAACGAAAAATCTATTAACGAAATCCTTATGAACATCGCGTTTTGTTGTGAGCATCAGCTGATGGGCTAGTCTGCCAATTCAGTAATCTGTTCTATGTTTACATTCGTTTCCAGTGGAGTAAAATATCAATAAAGTTGTGCTCTTTAATATTTTTGCATTTTTTATATTAAAATTATTAAGTCATTTTAACATTTATTTAACATATTGATAATATATACAGTACAGGGAACTAGTTTTTTGTGCACCCATCAGCAGCTTGACTCAGCCACAAGGCATCAGTTGGGCTTTGAAAACAGTGGAGTGAACATCTATTTTGTTAGTGTCTTGAATATTTGTTTAATTTGTCATTGAAATTATTGGTCATTCTGAAATTTAGTTAACATATTGATAATATACAGCGCAGTGCAGTGTTGATTTAAAGAAAATAATATTGAATTACACCTAGTGAACTTAAAATTTTATTGTTGAAATGATTGCATCAAGCATGGGTCCCCTGAAAGGTGATTTCTCCTCCATCCCCACTTCCTTCTCTTCTCCCCCAACCCCACTTCTAATTCCCATCATCATCATCAACCAGGAACCTTCTACATCACACCTCAAAGTAAGTGTACTTACTGCATTTTTTTTTTACTTTGTACGTACTTTTCGGTGAGCTGGAACCAATTACCCAATATCCCATTGAAACAATGGATTCGATTAACCAAATTTTCGCTTAACGAACGACCTTCTGAAACGAATTGTGTTCGTTAACCGAGGGACCACTGTACAATACTGTAGATACATTTTCAATGGAATGAAGAATGAGTCACAAGGTAAAATGATCTGACATCAAGATTAGAACTCATTAAGACTGGGGCACATTAGGATTGAAGCCTATTAGAAATGGAACCCATTGTGGAAAGAGTATACAGTACACTCTCTCCTCAACTTCAACGGGGTTCCGGACCGACGACCAGGTCGTAAGTCAAATTGGTCGTAAATCGAAAAGGCGAAAATAATACAAAGAAAATCTAAAATGGGTGTCTCTTTTTCTTCTCAGTACAACGAGAACTCTCACTTTTACACTTGCCAGCCATTTTAAAGGGAATTACAAACGAAAATTTTGTCAATACACAGCGCGATCACTAAAGTTGGGGCTAGAAAATCCCTAATTTGAAAAATATTTTATACGACTGCGGCGGTCGTATGTCCGGGTGGTCGTAAGTCGAGTAGGTCGTAAGTCGAGTAGGCCGTAAGTCGAGGAGTACCTGTATTAGCAATGAGTCCCATCAAGATTAGTGTCCAACCAATTGAAAAATTAATCTAAGTTGTCCAAACATTCCTTGACATAAATATGGCTTTAAAATGTAGGAGGAAGAAAGAGGGAGAGTACTGCCATGGCAATAAGTTTATTACACTGGAATTTCCATTGTTTCGACATAATAATTAGTCTGGTAAAGTGACATACTACAGTACTGACTTTTTAAACAAGGGAATCATATAAGATCTTCCCAGAAGTAAATCACATGTGCAAGTTCAGTACAGTACAGTATTAGCAAAGTAGAGATTAAAAAAATAACAAAAACCATACAGAACTATAATTATATCAAACTGATCACATACCGTATATACTCGCCATGTTTGTCAGTATGTTTGCCAAATGCAATAGGACTGTAAACACGGAAGTATTGGTGAAAGAAAGCTGATGCAGAGAGCCACATCCAATTTCCAGCATTAAGGGACCAGTCAGCATCAAGCAGCAGCTCCTCAAACACCTGGTAAACAAGGATAAGATGATCATAGTTAAATGACATGGATTTTCCTAATTGATTCTCTAAGTATTGTTTCCATAAACACAAAAAGCACACGATACTCTAAAGTAAACAATTCAATAATATGAGCAGAACTTTTAAATTCCTGCATATCTGAATCAGACTAGCTCATCAGGAACTTTGTTTAGCCTTTAACAGAGTAGCAAGCAGACCCTCATCGCTATACAACTCTCAATATTATTATTGACAGACTGAGCTGAAATGCAAAATGCCCAATTCAGGAAGCACAGAGGAAACAAATAATGCTTACTATTGATGTACCATCAAGAACTATGCACATTCTACGAAGATGGTAAATTTGGCTTAAAAAAATCACCTCAACAAAATTAAACCAAAGCAAAAAATTGTGTGGCAAGTTTATTCTCACCATCATCACTACCATTTTAAAGTCATTTTCCACACCTAATATAGCTCCACAAAAACTTAAACGCAAGGAACATGTAACATCGACTAATGTTGGATGCCGTTTAAGGGTTATTTCCCATTATGAATACAGAAGAACTAGATAATGTTGAAACCCTGAGGGCTGAAGAAAGGGAAGAGTTGAATTTTAGAAACGTAAGATTATGGTTATGGGATTCAAGTCACATGAAATAACATGGGATTCATCCTAGTGACAGTTCAGCTTGAACACTTTTTGAAGCAACAGTTGGATCATGGTTGAGATGTCACACTCACTGTTTTTGTTGTAAAAATGTTCAACTTTACTCTTGTAAATACTGGTAACACTGTAAAAAAGAAAGGATGTACAGTCCCCACATAAAAGTATCGTTAGTCATGTGGTCGATGTGATTCGAGGCTTTCTGAGCACTGTTACTCGACCTGTTTCTCAAGGGTTGGTAGTTCTACATCAGCAACCTTTGAGCATGAATGATGCAGTACTATATATATGTTTTCAAACAATACATACATTAATATAGCTTAATGGCTTGCTTGTTATATTGAAGTATGCCATACAAAGATGACTCCCTCCCCCAATCCTACCTCCATCTCTACTGCTGCTGATATGGCAAGCAGGCATACCAACTTATGATGATGCACTGGAGATCATATCAAAGCATTTTGTCCAGCATTTCAAATTGTAGCAACAGAAAATCTGATGATACTTTTTTGGGGGGACTGTACAGTACATACATACCCCAATAATAAATACAGCACATTACTCTACAGTACATCTTATCAGCCTTTTACAGTATTTTAATGCATAATGCTCATAATTGTTGACTGCACTGGCACAGAACCATGCACATGTTGAATAATGTGCTCCTTGTTCTGTAATACAGTATTGTCACAACGAGCAATGCAATTCATCCCAAGAGCATTCACTTTGCTCTATGTTTATTATCTTTTCACCTCTTCACATTTTACTATGTCCACCTTAGTTTCCAACATAATAGTGCACCACTTCTTACTACCACCATCACTACTGTCACCACTCTTATGCTTTTGAAGCATGTTGGGGGTTAATAGTGTTCATAAACAACAAAAATAACACCGCAGGGAGCTGCAGGTACACCAAGGAGGAACAACAAAATCTAATGATGGCAGCAGAGACACTGGTTGACACCAAACAGCCACTGCCATCTACTGCACGACAGCTGTACTTACGACTCACAGATCAAACAGTCAACTAGACATATTGAAAGGTTTGTTTGTGTCCGTCAAAGTTTGTAAGACAAATGTTCATAAGTGGAGGAGCACCTTTATAATTACTAGACATGTTGATTTGCCTTGCAAACAACTGTCTTATACAGGAACCATTAACTGATCTATTTAGGGCAGATTTCCCTGCTTAAGACTGGAGATAACCCACTGGACAAGCCAAGCTCTGCCATGGGAGTTCTTAACATGACATTTCACAAGTGAATTGATAATGACTCATAATCAATAAAAATAAATTAAACAACTTAGGTAATATGCACTTCTCCTTTAAAAAATCATAATAAGGTTAGAATAGAATTTCTGTACAGTACTCCTATTAGTGAACTCCAGTGATCCTAAAAATGAATAGCTTCCTGACAGAAGTAAAGCAAAATAAAATTCAATTTCAATGCATCTTAGTAAGTGAGCTAGTACAAGTACACCACCAATTATCAGGGAACTGATGGTCCGGCACCTCCTTTAGTCCGGACAAAATTATGAGAGAGCACTTAACTTCCCTCCCTCCCTCCCAGAATGGGTGAAGGTAGTTTTAGGCTTAAAGTTTTTATCTTATAAAATGTAGCTGACTAGGCTTAGCAGAATATAAATTACATTGCTGAAATCTTTGTAAGATAGTGATTAATTTGAGTATAAACATCACAATTTTCACAAGAGATAGAAATTTTAGTCTAGTGTAGTACATTTGAGTACAGTACTGTACAAGTTTTTTAACTCATATTTTCAGGAAGATATATGTAACTTTCTTCATTTATTTTTACTCATTTACATGCACACACCATCTTAAATATATACTGTGAAAAAAAGTAAAAGAAATAATTGTCCTTAGGGTAAACCTGTAATAAGTTAATTACTAAAAATTTTATGTCTTGTGCAAATTGTATACTGTATTGCCAAATCGGTTCTATGTTTACATTCATTCCCAGTGGAGTAAATATCAAGAAAGTTGTGTTCTTGAATATTTTTGCATTTTTTATTAAAATTATTGGTCATTCTAAAATTTAGCCATCCAAGCTCTGTCTACTGGTATGCACTGTCCTAAGGGCAAAGTTGTACTGTACATGAACTCAAAATTATGTACTAAATGATTACTAAGATTTTTGTCTAGTGCAAACTATAGCATGTTTATATTCAAATTGATCACTATCTTATAAGAATTCCAGCAATGTAAATTATATTCTCCAGGGTCACTTCTGTGACATTTTATAAGCATAAAACAAAAACTCAATCTAAAGGACATAAATAAACAAATTAATACTTCACTAGATCTTCGGCGCCAACTGTTAAACATGTCACTGTCACCTCCCCTTCCTCCCTCCCCTCCTCGCAGCCAGAGTTTGGTGGTTTTAGGCTTAAAATTTTTATCTGATATAATATCACAGACTAAGGTTAGGAGAATATAATTTGCAGTGCTGGAATCCTTGCAAGACAACGAATAATATATATATACTGTATATATATATATATATATATATATATATATATATATATATATATATATATATATATATATATATATATATATATATATATATATATATATATATATATATATATATATATATATATATATATATATATATATATATATATATATATATATATATATATATATATATATATATATATATATATATATATATATATATATATATATATATATATATATATATATATATATATATATATATATATATATATTTTTTTTTTTTTAAGGGCGATTTAGGGGATTTATAAGAGTGTTTCTGACTTCATGCATTTTTTTTATTTACTTTGTATGTACTTTTCCTGTGAGTTGGAACCAATTACCCAATATCCAAATGAAATAATAGATTCAGTTAACAAAATTTTCGGTCAACAAAAGACTCTGTGGAACCAATTGTGTTTGGTAATCGAGGGACCACTGTATACAACAATTTGAATTAAATATAACAAACTTGCCTTCATACCATCTTCCCAGGACTGCCAGAGGTCCCCTCTTGTCAGAAAGCAAGCCACCGCATGACGACCCAAGTGGTGAATCCATCCCTCTTTCCTTAACTGCGTCATAGTTGCATCAATAAAAGGGTATCCAGTTTTTCCCTATTCAAATAAAATACTTGGGTCAGTAGACAATATTAATACCGTACTGTATCAGGAAAATTCCCTACCTAATATGGCAGACTACGATAAATCCTTTACTTACATTGTTACTAAACACATCATTTTATTTAACCATCACTGACATACAGTAAGTTCTCGCTTAACGTCGGGGTTACGTTCCTGAAAAGTGACATTTTACGAAACAACGTTAAGAGGATCAATTTTCTCCATAAGAAATAGATAAAATACGGGAGTTATGTTCCTGAGCCTCCCTTTGCCCCATGAAAAACATCACATATACAAAAAATATTTGCCATTTCTATAGAAAATAGTATATATATACAGAACTATTAAGTTTGTATTGGTACTCACGGATGGGCGTAGGTGGTGGAGCGAGTGTGTGGTGGGTGGTGAAGCGGAGGAGGTGGATGGCGGGAGTGGAGGAGGAGGAGGGTGGGAGCGGAGGAGGGCAGAAGAGGAGGAGGGTGGCGAGTCACTGAGACTGTGGCTGCCTCCTCCTCCTGCGCTGACTGGGGTTCCTCCGCCTCTGTTTGCTCCTCCTCGGCTGCTTTGTGCTCCTCCTCAGCTGCCGGCTGTTGTGAAGAAGCTGCTTCTGCTGTCCCGCGACGAACAAATGAATCCAGTGTTGACTGCTTGGTGCTACTCTTCTTCAATGCTGCATTGAACCTTTGAGCTACGTTATCTGTTTGGGTTGTCATCTATAAGGATATGCATTGCTTGCTGGAACATGTTCAACGATTCTGCCAGCCTCTTTGAAGTTAGCATTCGTTGAGGTTCTTCGTCGTCCTCGACGTCGTCCTCTTCAACGGGACTGTGTTTTAATAGTTGTTGCAGATCATTGTTGGCGAGCTCTTCTGTATGGGATGCCAAAACGTCCTCAATATCCTCTGATTCCAGCTCATCAAAGCCTGCCTGTCTAGCCAAGCTGAGGATATCCTTATTCACAACTGGGACTAAGTCCGTGAATCCCATAAAACTGTAAAACTGTTGACACACTTGGGCCACAGTTTACGCCACACACCATTCAGGCAACTTTCTGAAACCTCATCCCATGCCTTGCCAATGTTGTCAATAGCATGAAGAATGTTGAAGCCACGCCAATATTCTCGGATCGTTGGTTTACTTTCTCCATCTGTAACCTTGAGCAGCTGGGCCATGGTACGCAGTAAATAATACGCCTTGAATGCGGCGATGACGTGTTGGTCCATAGACTGCATCAGTGCTGTCGTGTTGGGAGGCAGAAATACAACTTTTACACTGTCATGCAAGTCATCGAGATTGGGAGGATGAGCTGGAGCACTGTCAATGATCAGAAGAATTTTGAAATCAAGGTTCTCCTTGGCACAGTATTCATTCATTGCAGGGACGGCATACACATTTAACCACTGGCTAAATATGGCGCCAGTTATCCATGCCTTCTTTTTGCCTTGTAAATGACAGGAAGGTGATCCTTGGAGTAACCTTTCAGGGCCTGTGGGTTAGCAGCGCGAGAAATTAGCATAGGCTTCAGCTTGAAGTCGCCGGCAGCGTTCGTGCCAAGCAGCAGCGCCATGTATATATATGTAGGTAGGTGTATGTGTATGTATGTATGTATGTATATGTATGTATGTATATGTATGTATGTATATATATGTATGCATATGCATATGTATATATGTGTGTATGTGTATATACAGTCATGCGCCGGTTAACGTCCTAGAAGCGTTCTTGGAAACGTGACGTTAACGGAAATGGACGTTGTCCGATCATCACATTAACTTTTTATTTATACTTATGTGTATGTGGAATACTATATACATACATATACACTTTTACTGTTAAATCACTACTGTAATGTGATACAGGTGATTAATTTTTATCTCTTGTGCAAAATACATGACGTTTATATTAAAATTATTCACTGTTTTACAAGGATTCCAACAACGCCGAGCAGATGGGGGAGAGAGAGAGGGTGGGAGCGAGCAAGGGGGCGTGGGGGGAGGGGAGGTAGTACGTTTGACAGTTGGCACAGGCCCAGGTCTAACGCGTGTATATTTATCAGTTCTTAGGTGACTAAGCTTCTCTCTTATAAAAAGCCAGTGAAATGACCTGGGTGAATATAATTAACATTGCTGGGATTCTTGTAACATACTGATTAATTTGAATATAAACATGCGATAATTTGCACTAGACAATACACTAGTCAAATTAGTACATGTGCACTCCAGCTTTGCTGTAACGTCATTTATTTCTATTACGTTTCTTTTAATATGGTGTGTGCATGTAAATGGAAAAAAATAAATTTAGAAATCTATGTACAATAAATCTACCCAAAAATACAGTTGAAAAACTTTTTTATAAAATGTACTACAGTACTGTACACTAATGTACAAAATTTTTTATCTCTTGAGCAAAATATATGACGTTTATATTCAAATTATTGGCTGTCTTGCAAGGATTCCAGCAATGCAAATTATAATCTCCTAACTTTAGTCTGAGATATTATATAAGATAAAAACTGTAAACCTAAAAGCCTGGCTGGGGGAGGGGGACATAGCCAGCCACGCCACCCAGCGAGGGGTTGGTGGGGGGTGGGAGGGTTGAGGTGATAAGTTTGAGCTGAAGGTCTCTGTGTGTTTATTTAACAGTCCTACTAAGCTTCTCTCATTTTAAAATGCCAGTGATATGACCTAGGAGAATATAATTAACATAGCTGGGATTCTTGTAAGATACTGATATATTTGAATATAAACATGTAATTTGCACTAGACATAACAATTTTAGTACCGTAATCAAATTAGTACATGTGCACTCCAGCTTTGCACTAAAGTCATTTACAGTATTTCTTTTATGTTTGTTTTAGTATGGTGTGTGCATGTAAATGTATGAAAATAAATGAAGAAATTTATGTAAATCTACCCAAAAATACAGTAGAATTTTTTTTTATAATATGTACTACAGTATTGTACACTAATGTACTACATTTTTTATATCTTGAGCAAAATATATGACGCTTTTATTCAAATTAATCTCTGTCTTGCAAGGATTTCAGCAATGCAAATTATATTATCCTAACTTTAGTCTGAGATATTATAAAAAATAAACATAAAGAAATCACCAATCTTTTATCTTGAACACGAGGGTGGTGGGAAGACGGCGGGGGAGGTGACAGAATGTCTGGCGTTTGTTTGTTTATTTATTTATTTGAGATAAGATTTGACAGTTGGCGCTGAAGGCCTGCCTGCGTGTTTATTTATCATTACTTAAGAGTGACTAAGCTCTTCTCATAATTTTCCACCCAAACGACCTGGGTGAATATAACTTACATTGGAGGGATTCTTATAAGATAGTAATTTATTTTAATATTTTTTTTTTTCAATTTAAATTTTAATTGTTTATTCCTTGATAGAGGAAGCGGGATCCTAGTGCTGTCACTTGGTACCCCTGTACCATAACACCAGAAGCAACTGGCCAGTGTTACAAGTATATACAGTACAGTACAGTCATCCCTTGGTTATCGCGCCTAATTGGGACCCCGCCGATAACGAAAGTACAGAACCTATGGGATTTATTCTAATTGGTTCATTTACCCAAGACCCAACCCCAAGTTTCCCATTTTACGACCATTTAGAACCACTAAATATATGTATAATGTTATGGTAAATATCATAAACACACATAGGCATGGCTAGGTTTATTACAAAGTGATGAAAAGGGTACGCTTAATACTGTAGTCCACAAAACATGTAGCTATGCTTTTTTTATTTGGTCCCCCGTCATATGAGTCCGTTTTCTCTCACATCAGGATGCCTGAGTCCTCCGTTTTCTCTCTTAATCTTAGAGTGCACCAGAAACTTTACTATTTTTAGTAATGCCACAGAATTTGAAATTGCAACCCCAATTGCAACTCGGGTTGCAATTGTTGAGGCAACTAGATATGTCTGATTACAGCAAATGTGTTATTGTCAATTTGTAGGTGAAAGATTTTATCCTCAATAGATGTAGGTTAACATTTCACCTGTAGGCAAATGCTTAAAAAAAGCCTAAGTAAGGAAGCATATTCCTTTAACACATAATATCTGACCAGTATGGGGAGGATCATCATGTCTCCGTCAGGGAGTCGTGGAGTGGTGGTCCAGCAGGCGTCACTTTTTTTTTGGGGAGGGGGGGCCAATGGATGCGGCGCGACCAAACGTTATTCAGTCGAATAACCAAGCGATAACGCGTAATGCACGGGTAATAACCACCTGCCACGACTTTACGCGTTTGGTCATTTACGCGGCACCTGGCCAGACCAGCAATTATTAGTTACGCGGTACATTCCATCATTTACGCGGAAGCGGCGCAGGCAGGATGCGCACTAGGTCGCCCAGTCAACAAAACATTACCGTGTTCTTCACCCACCACCCACCACAGCCAGTCCAAGTCAGTGATAGTGAGGATATGGACTTTGAGGGGTTCGACAAAGAGGCCCTGGCAAGCCTCTGTGGTGGATAGTGATACAATTGATACAAGTGATACAGGTGAGGGCCAATAATCTGCCCTCTGCCTCGGAACCAACCCCCCATCCCCGTGTGCCCAGCCATCTCTTCTACTAACGTAAGTGTTAAAAAACCTAATATTATTGATATTCCTCTTAAATATTAATTGTGTGTACATACCATCATAAAATTAAGATGTTATTTTTACTACAACGAACATATTGTGTCGGAAAAAGGGTAGTCTGGCAGTCGGCCCAGTCTCTTTTTCAATTAATCCCATATGTTCTGTTATTTTATTTATGTGTTTTGTGTTATACGCAGACCTCAATGGGTTAAATTAGCAGCGTAAACCCAGACTATACTGTACTGTACTGTAATGTATATATATATATATATATATATATATATATATATATATATATATATATATATATATATATATATATATATATATATATATATATATATATATATATATATATATATATATATATATATATATATATATATATATATATATATATATATATATATATATACTGTATAGACCAAGAGGTAGCAGTGAACAACACACGTGGTGGCGGCAGGGCACAGACTGAGCAGATGTAAACAAACACCTCGCGCCAAGCGGTGGGCGCGGAATTTAACGGAATCATGCTCGATTTATCGAACTCCAGTAGTTCGATTTAGAGGAAATTTCGATTTTACGGAAAGGGTACCTCGAATTAGTTCGTTAAACTGAGAAAATACTGTATATCGAAATATAGGTGGTGAAAGTTGTCTGCTGGGAATGCACCCCCCCCCAACTGTGCTTACATTAATTCTTATGGAGAAAATTGCCCTGATATTTGCAGTTTCACTAATCACATTGAATTTTAGAAACACATCCATTTTGGTAACAGGGGTATTTCTGTACTCCTATTGTACATAATGGAAATAATTTAACCATGGCATGGCAAGGGGGCAATATACAATGAACCCACCACTATTTGTCATTTGAGGGTTTATTCTCCAACCTTAAAAAACTTTGTTAGCAGAATAAGTTATTTAATTTATTAAATATTTTACTCCAGATAATTCTTCAAACTTCATGTCCACAGAATTTAAAAATTCAATTTTTAAAAATAAATCATAAAACAGGTTCAATTGTATTATGGCACATGTACTGTACAGTCAATGTGTTTATCCATATCTGACCTTATCATTTAAACAAAGCAACTGTATTTCTGCATATACAAAGTTAGGTTAACAACAAAAAGTTGGTTTTACATTATGAAAGTTCAGTATTACAAGTACTTACAAATTCCCAGGCCTTCATCAACTTTTCATTTCTGACCCATGGAATCTGTCGGCATATGGGGTTCCCTTCCATTCTGTTGAAGTTGGGAGTTTTTGCCCCAACTGTGTAGAAAAACTCACGCCATAGCAACTGTCCTAATAAAGACACTGGAGGCTGGGTGTGTGAGTTATTCTTATACACCTGTAAAACAAAATGACAGTTTATCATGAATGTCAAAAACAATCTAGTACTGTAGTACAGTATACAGAAAGAAGTATAATATGCATAATTTATTGTATTACGGTATACAGTACTGTATATACTGTACAGTACTCACCAGCAGATGCTGTCATCTTGACCCTAAAATAGGCAGACTCTGTCCACTCAGCTGAATTTAATATGTAACTGTAATAACATCTTAACACTTGTGATGGAGGTTGGGTGGGGGATTAGTGGGCCATGTTACTGACATGACCTGATGCAATGTCAGGTCACCCATTGTATATAAACTCTTTTCTCATTTGTGATGGAGGTGGGGTGGGTGATTAGTGATCTCATATTACTGACCTTCTGATGCAATGTCAGGTCACCCAATGTTGGGGTGGCGGATCAGTGGGTAAGGTGTGCCAGTGTTTCCCACTTACTGAATGCACAGTACAGTATATGTAACTGTAATCACTTTTTATAATCTTAACACAGCTTTAAGGGGAGCATCCGGCTGAAGCACAAAATTTGGTAATAATTGATCAATCAATATCAATTTCCTGTCAGCAATTAAGGACACCAGATACATTGTTGCTTACCCTTGAAACGGTTCTGCCTAATCCCTGATACCTGATCTTTCCATTTTATTTCTTATCAATTTTCAAAATCCTACTTCTCCATAACTTTTTGCTAGATTACATTGAAATTCATGTAGAGTATAGGTACCGTATTTTATGGCACAAAAGACGCATGTTCATATAAGATACACACCCCCATTTTAGCAGGGAGTACAGTATTTGGAAACCTTTTGTGTGTCCTTTCCTCCTGTATCCATAGTTTTCTTAAAACAATATATACAGTACCAGTAAATGTAGGGAATAAATAAAAATAATACCAATATATAAGTTACAACAAAAAATACTCTATTGCCAAACCAGTAACAAATGCCAAATGAAAATTTAACAATCACCTTTTGCATATACAGGGGGTACTGTACATCTGTACTCTCTGTTTACCATAGCAACGACGACGCTACCTCTGCCAATTCCCTAGCAATGCTCCCCACCCACCACTCAGCCATCTTCCCGCTCCCCCACTAAGCCAGCTAACTCATGTGCAAAGAAATGTAGCTAGCTGAGAAGGATGCCAGTTACTGATTTTTACCAAGTGATTGGTATTAATTTACACCAAAATATTATTATAAATACTTTTCTCCACCTTTTGCTAAGTAAACAGAAAGGCCCTCTAAATGAAGGGGGGTAGAATAATCGTGCATAGCTACATAAATATTATGAATTACACAATCAAAATAAGTTAGCAGATAGCCATAGGCAACAGCATTCCTCAGGAATTTTTCTGAAATTTTCAGTTTCCCAATTTCATTGTATTTTCAGCCAGACGTTCCCCTTAACACTGTATTTTTGGCTGATTGTGTCCTGGTACAATAATGTACAGTACTGCACAACACAAATTGTACACAAAAACAGCATCTAGCATAGGAACAGCCTTCTACTATGGCAGCAGAATATGAACTAAGCGATCCAAGCATCTAGGCCACCCCAACGCCCGGCACATGCGGATGCATTGAAGCAAGATGCAGTCTTTCGAAACTCCCAGAAAATTTATTCCCAGACCCAGAGCGGAGAGGTTTGAAGAGATTTTTTCAGAACCTTCTCAGAATTTTTTCCGGAAAATGGACCTGATTTTCATCCTCGGAAACTCATTCGCAGACTCATAATGGAGAGAGTTTTCCCAGAATTTTTCCGGCCCAATTTCAATTCCGGCTATTGGAGAGTTCTGGGGACTGGGGATTCCGGCTAACAGTACTGTATACAGTATTGAACAATACATCGTTAATTTTGCTTGGTTGAAAGTCATTCTGCAGAACAGAATGATTACTGATCCATGACTTAGATGAAAGATGTTATACAGTACTCTCATAACACTACAACAAGACATTTGTGTTATATCTCAAAGTAAAATATGCAATGTCAAATACACAATACAAATAATTACTTTTTTAGTCAAATAAAAAATTAATAAATTACGTCACACTTTTCCAGTTTTTATTTAGTGTTTAACTGTTTCCAGCTGCTTACTCTATGTGTTTCATAAACTGTATAGTCAGCAGGCACATACATTTTATAATGGTACCATTTGTCCAAACTTACATAAATACATTTGCAGATACTGTACATACACCAAACCTATGCTGGACTTGTCCACCGTCATGTGCTCACAGATGGTGTTTATTTGTTGTGCTTCCTTTGTTTTTGTTTTGTTAACATTATGTGGGATACAATAAAAGCTGGATGTGTTAATAGTGTGAAGTATATTGCATTGGGACCAAATATTTCATTACAGTATACTATGAGTGAAAAGAGAAAGCAAAGCAAAGATACTGCTGGAAGAGACCTTCACCTTTGACACATGTGACCACCACCCATGACCCCACTTGGACTTACCCAACCTTTGTTAATACTCAAGTGACCCACTGCCACATAGCAGTTAATCCATCAAACAGACCATGCCGAACTTGGCCCATAAACTCACACAAGTTAAAATGTTTATATTGTTGATGAAACAATAATGAATTGTGTATGAAGATTATTTTTTTAATAAATACAGTATTGCTTTACTCACCATAAGCTGGCTGCATCTATCTGAACCCTGAGCCACATTATACAGAATTTCTCAATCAATTCATGGGCCACACAAAGACATGGTTCGGGCCGCATGCGCGGGTTGCCCATGGCTGACATAATGCATGATGGTTCATTACTTGACTTTTTATGCAGAAGAGGAATATAATGTATGAATGTGAAAATAAATATAAAACTCGAACATAAATATAAAATCCTATCCCTTACCTCTAATAGCCTGAAGTACATGGTGCGAGGTGAAAGACAACCAAATTTGAGGTAGGGGCTGAGGACTGTGGTGCTGGGCTGGAGGGAATTGGGTGATGTCTTTGGCTTCTCAAACTTACACACCCAAGTCTTCGGAACAAGAGCATTAACAGTAAATTTACAAAACATTAACCTTGTGTAAGTTCCAAAAATATCAAACACATAGTCCTAGAGTTCCCAAAACCTGTCAGGAAATAAAATAGTTTTCCAAGCTGGAACTACGACTCAATCTTCTGTATGATGTATGCAGCCCACTACAATACACTGAGGGTTCAAAGTTTGCTCCCTCCCAAACTGAAGTAGTATCCACCCCAAAATAGATAAAACAGCACATCTGTAGCAGACAACAGTCAAGGTAAGTAAGTTTGCAGACTCATTCCTGTGACTCTAGTTTCACAATGGGGAGTGAACTTTTATCCACAACTGTACATTTAACAAATATGTTGATGTTTCGTAAACTTTGCATCCATCCTTTCTATGTTCATCAAGTTCAATGATTTTATCTAACACTTACAGAACCTTGCCCAAACACACGAGTTATAATCGCTGAAGCTCATAGTGACATCATGCAATCACTCTTCAACACAAGCTGTATAGATCTGCTTGTTGTATTGGCTATCACACATGTCAGTGCTCCTAGTAATGTATTTGAATTTAGAGTGTGAAAAACTAATGGACTGAACTTGCAATGTCCAATTTCAAGACTGAGGAGGATGGAGGACATCGTCCATTAGAATGTCCACATACACAATATTCTTTTATTTACTGTCCATATACACACCTTCCCTTCATTTAATTTTCATACACATACTTTCTTTTCATTTACTGTCCATACACACACTTTCCACTCATTCAGTCATTCATTCATTATTATGCTGCACAAGATTTGCTCTATCATACTCCTTTCCAAACCAAAGCCCCAAATCTGGTTTACTTGCCACTTCACTCAAGCTAACATTGTCCATCAGCAGAACATTCTCCCCCCCCCCCCAAAAAAAAAACACACTTGGTGCCATAGTAATACCTACAGTATATACAAAATTCAATAGCTAAACCAAGGCAGAGTAAATGATGTTTCATGATAGTGTTTCCCATGCATAGAACTTGAACCATTGAAGGTCAAATTTTGGGGACTCTCTTACTGCTAAGTCCAGGCAAGCATTAGTTTATACAACCTTTCACTAAACATTGTAGAAGAGCCCCTTCATCAGAATGAATATATTGTAGTTTCTTAATAAATCAGATTTTGCCTGAGGGTGTTCTAGAACTAATCTCAAGTCACTTGATGAATGAGCATAGTTACAAAATTTAATTTAATGCTTCATTCTTACATTTATGGCCTACATTACTCAATGACTAACAGACAATATCCAAAGCTACCTAAGAAATGTAAGGTTTAAGTAAAGCGTCAACAGAATTACCGGTATTTAATGTCCACCCAACAAGGAAGTCTAGTAGAGTGCACCATACCTTACAAAATTAAAGAATAGAATCCTAAAATCTCATTACAGGGAGACCCCCCCCCCAAGTTAGCGGAGATTTATTTCGCAGTCCTACATTATTCGCGGATGACACCCTGGATGTACCCAAGAATGTCTGTGGGTAGTTTTAAAGTTGCTGGAACAGGGAGCCATTCATTCTAAAGACAGTAATTCCCTTTTCCTGTATTGTAAATATGTGTATGTGTGTGTGTGTGTGTGTGTGTGTGTGTGTGTGTGTGTGTGTGTAGACACACAAACAAAACACATTCAAATAAATAATGATTGGAAAATACTCTCACACAAATAATCAGAAGCAAACTTATTAAAAATGTGAGTCTACCCTCAAGTCCGTGCTTTACTACTTATTAATAAAGCACGGACTTGAGGGTAGACTGTCTCATATATAAGAAATTTGTTTCTGATTATTTGTGAGAGTATTTTCCCATTATTATTTATTTGTACATTATGTGTTTTGTGTGTGTGTGTGTTTTACACACACACACACACACATATACTGTATACAATACAGGTAAAAGAAATAACAGTCCTAAGGGCAAACACACAAAGGGAATACAGTATACATTTCTTTGTACACAAGTAAAAATGTCCTCAATTGGTCAGCAAATGTTGTTCGCGGATTTGGCGATTCGCGGCCATTTTGAGAACCTAACCCCCACGAATTTGGGAGGGCCCCCCTGTATTTGATTTGGCAGGGAGCAAAATGGCTCATGATTTATGGATTGTTCAGTATCTCACTAGTTAAATCCCCATGGCAAATTCATCTTCTCACAAACTTTAACTAACAAAGGAAGTATTGCCAAAACAGCTGCACTTTTAATCTTACAGTACCTGAATCTCTCAATTCTAAAAAAAAAAAAAAAAAAAAGTAGCTACTGTACATGGATGCTGCCATATTAGACAGAAAAATCATGAAGCCATCAGAAATATCTCCAAATACTTTATCCTCCAGCATAGCTTTGAACAAAAAATTGGGTTCTAAAAACCATCTCATCAGACTAAGTCACTTCCACAACACCAAGCCATTTGCTCCCCTTCTCAACTATAAAATGGGGTTTTAGGATTTAATCCCCAAAGAGCACAGTATACAAGACATGAGAATGTGTATGCTTTTCAAGCCTGTGCAAGCCAATTCCTTATGATATCAGCTTGGATCAAAATATGAGAAAGGTAACAATGCAGCCATATGTAATGGTCAGAAATAGTGATTACACATCCCCACCTTGCGCATCATGTATTTGTCTAACCTCCTGAGTGCCTCTGTCTCACCACCTGGGTACAGACAAGGTTGAAGGCTGCCCTCATCTACACCCAACTCTGAAAAATAGCAATATTTATCAGTCCAAGCACTGGAATAACCACAGGTTTATAAGCAAAGAACTGGCAAATACAACAAAATAATTTATGTCATATTCTGCTACAAAATCAATCTGAAAATGTATTCATTACATGGTACAAGATCTGAATCCGAAAATTTATCATATACGTATTAGTACAAGCATAATTTATTAATTAGTACAGCAAGGGCAATGATAAATGAAAGGAACGTGAGTATACTGATTTTCTGAAGGGCAAAGGAAAAATCTGCTGGGGACAATTGAAGACAATAAGTCATATGGTTTTTGCGTGTGAAATACTGTAGTGGAAAAATTTGCCAAATTTGGGTTTTCATGTGCGTATATTTTTATTATGATTTAGGTTCATACACATTATACACCAGGCAGTGAGAAGTGTAATGCACTGAGAGTATCTCACTGCAGAATGGTGAGATGAGTGGCCAAGAGCCTGAGAGAGTTCAGACTTTCTAAAAAAAAAAAATGCTCTCCAGTAATGCTGCTTGGAGCGACCTTCAGCATCATCCTTCTGTTGGAACACTGTGCTCACTTCATACGATTTGTATGAACTCTAAGTACCCATTGTTCTTCTGTATCTCTGAGATCCATTGTCCTATCAGGATCACAATATATATGGTACTGTGTTGTGCCAGCACTAATGAAAACCAAGTTATTATTTGTTAAAATCATAATTTTTCTAAAAATTGGGTAACTACAATCTAGACTAATGAAATATCACAAGAAATGTAGTGGAATTAACAATAAAAAAAATTAAGATTTACTATAATGGTAGCAGGTAGGTACAGTACACAAAAATGGTGGGTAAAATTATACGACTTAGTACCCTACTTGGCCCACACAAACGGAAACTGCCTGTTCCAACCTGCTGAGTGCTTGGACCTCCATGAGTATTACAAGCATGACTTTGAACCTATATTTTGTGAAAAACTCACTAATTTTCATTTGTTTCAGGCCCTTAAGATGTTAATCCCACACAAACTTTTTTTTTCCTTTTACCTTTTTATTAATCCTCTTCACCACCGATCAGCTCATTAACCGCTTGGGTGGTCGGTCACATCTCTTTTACTCACTATTGGCAAGTAATCGGCATGTACAGCATGCCTGGATAATTGGCGGATTTTTATTTCGCATTCCTCTATTATTTGCAGTTGACACTCTAGATGTACCCAAGAATGTCTGCGGGTAGTTTTAAAGTTGCTGGCATTTTCGCGGCCGGCATGGGAAGAGCGCGAGTTTTGTGGCATCCCACAGGGTGTCTCTCTTGTCCCAGGAGGTTGTCCCATACACACTCGCTCCGCCTCAGTCCATGATAAACACCTGTCCATCTTGCGCGTGTGCTGCTCTGCTCTCGGGACAACTATGCTGCTCGTGCTTGTGATGGCCCCCAAACACCCTTTACTACCTTCATCCAGCTGTAGGAAGGTGCCCAAACAAGTGAAGAGAGAAAAGAAGGTCATATCCCTATTGGAGAAGATACAACTGCTGGACAAACTTAGAAGAGGCCAAAGCTTTGTCGCGTGTGGCCGGGAGTAAGAAAACAACGAATCAACTGTCTGTTACGTTAAGAAGAAAGAGAAGGAAATACTACAGAGTATTTCAACACAGTGATGGCGCAAAAAGGTAAGATTAACTGGGAGTGAATACATACACTGGTTGATTATGAGTTGTTGATAATTTTTATAATGGTTGGGACTGGGTTGTTCTTATAACATGTGTTTGTTTGTGTGTGTGTGTGTGTGTGTGTGTGTGTGTGTGTGTGTGTGTATGTGTGTGTGTGTGTGTGTGTGTGTGTGTACATACACCACACACATATACAATACAAGTAAAAGAAATAATTGTCCTAAGGGCAAACACATAAAGGGAATATACATTTCTTTGTACACAAGTAAAAAAAAAGTAACCTCCCCCCGTCAGCAAATGTTATTTGCGGATTTGGCGATTCGCGGCCATTTTGAGAACCCAACCCCCGCAAATTTGAAGGGCATGCTGTGCTTGCCAAAGGCTACGTAAAAGAGACTTGACCAACTGCCTAAGTGGCTGACGAGCCAATCAGTAGCTGTAACCATTCAGTTGCCACACCCCTAGTTGATCATTAAAGAAAATAATTTACCTGCAAGAGTGGGTAGATTATATTTGGCATTCACTGCCATTGCATTGTTTATCCTGCAGCTGCCAGGAAGACTGCTGAGTGAATCTACTGGTTTAGGTGGGTGACCCATTCTACTCACCAAACTCTGCATGGATTGATATGTCAATGGGGTTTTACCCAAATTGGCTTGAATGATTCTGAAAGTTCAAAAAAGAAATGTGAGCATAATATTAATAAGTTGAAAACGAATTTAAACAAATAAAAAAATTCTCAAAAAATTACAGTACAAAAACAAATTATTTCTACCTTTTAGTCATATTTTACGGTTTATTACACATTCAACAAGTGACCTGTGTGATTTCCCCACTGGAACACACCCTAGCAGAGCTTGTCTGGTCCAGGGTGCAACCTGTATTCCAGTAATAGGTATTGTAAGATGTCCTGACAGATCCGTCTAAAATGGTGCAGAGCAGTGATTATGAAGCAAGTTCTAATCCCAGGTCACTGACAGCTTTGAAAGCCATTGTGTCAATGTACAAAAGGATGAACCCGAAAGCCAGTTCACTTGTCATAAGCTCCACATACTTAAAGGGAGTTGAACATTTCAAATCACACACATCCCCTGTTGTTAGTCCACAATCAACATGTGTGGCATACGATCTGCTAGTCTCTTTGTGGGTATATGCCAGGTTTGTTTACAGCTGCAAGAATGAGTAACATATGATCCATACACTTGTTTGGCAGTATCTTACTCAAGATTGTCCAGTGTATTACAGTTTTTCAAATGAAAGCGGTACTATTGCTAAATGAGTTCATAAAAGAATTACACGTACAGTCGGGGACAAAAGTTTGCTCCCATTGATGAAATTGAACCACATTAATGAGTCTCCAAACTGACTTACCCTGACTGTTTCATCTCATTTGGGGTTGATACTGCTTCAATTTAGGTGAGAGTAAACTTTTGACCCCTACAGTACATTATATGTAAAGCTTCATGTGTTATGGAAGTTTTATGCAAGTGAAAAATTAATGACAGATTATAAAATCATAAGGGCTTACTATGTACCGGGGGTATACAGTGTGTACAATACATAATGACAAAAAACAAAATTAAGGCAAGTGCTCAAGCAGCTACACATGCTCATACATTGTATTTTCATAGAAGTGATGTGATGCTTAATATGGAACTACTCTTGAGTGTGTGGATTGAAGACTAGAACCATCACAATGTGCCAAATACTGTAACACAATAATCATTCAAAAGAAGGCAAAAATGTTGTACAGTACAGTAATTTGCAGGCTCAGCAAGGTGGCAGTTCTGAAGACGAACCATTTCAGGCTAGTAAAGGTTAGTTTGATTTTTTAAAAAGCACCTTAATTGCCTATACTCGTACCACCAAGATGATTCAGCAATCAACGTGGTTGTGAAACGCATGCCTGCTAGGATATTTATTTCTACTGAAGAAAAGTCAGCACCTTATTGAAGGCTTCAAAAGATCTAATGCTTCTGTTGGGAGGTAATGCTACTGGTGATATGAAAAAAAAGCCCATTCTTGTGTACCACTCCTAAAATAAAAGGGCTTTCAAGGGCTATGCCAAGCCTAAACTACTAGTGATTTAGCATAAAGTAACTGTACATACCAGTGTAGTATTTAGAGGGCCTAAATAAAGTTTTCTAATTTTATTTATTTTTGGTCCCTATTTTATGGTTCACTATAATATTAAAGATAAGGTATTAAAGACTGGTCTTCACGAAATTCTACATCCACAGATTTCCTAGGAACCTACCCCCTCATTATTTTCAGGTGCTGAGTGGTTAGGCAGTAAGTAGACTGTTGCAAATCACTCATAAGAATACCGAGAGGGTAAGAGCAGGTTGTCAGCCACCTGACAATCGTCGGAACAGGGCAAAAATGCCCAACGAGGCCATGAACATTCCCAACCATCCAAATGTACACATCTTATGATTTTGCACATTCATCTACTGTACAATACATACAGTAAAGGATATTAGCAAAATAACATAAACAAAAAATCACTGGATATAGCACTCACATTAGGCATGATGACAATGATACAGGGGGTCCCCGTTATCAGTGTATAGTATTCATTAATCATGGATTCGCAGTTATGTGGCCAAATAATTGTAGAACTATACAGTACTTAAAAATTCCCAAACCTACGAGGATTCAAAGTATGAAATTTATCGATAGAGAGGATAAGCGTTTGAAATTCTTTCCCACCTCCCATACTCCTCACCTACACTACGCATGCACAGTACTAATCGCCTGCGTCCACAAGCATTGTTTTGAAGTGGTCCAAGGATTTTTTGTCTACTTCGTTGTACCTTTGGTGACACTGCTGGAATTATTTTCTATCCATGAGTTCCAAACCGAAATAAGTTGGTGTAGTGGCTAAAAGGAAGCAAAGTAGTTATGGGATAGACGTGAAATTAGAAGTGATATATTGTAAGAAAAGTGGTGAGCATGTGACTGACATCTCATGAGCCATGCACATGCCTGAAACGACCATCCATACTATATTTAAGAATGCTAGAAATAGAAACAGGGGCTACAACATTACTGAGACATTTAGAAGTGAGATTAACGTAGCAAAGGAGTGATGTGATGGAAAGTATGGAGTGGCGGCTTGCCACGTAGATCGAGGATCTGTACCACCAGCATACACCCGTCAGCCTAGCTCTCATCCAAGAGAAGGCTTTAAGGTTACACAAGGAACTATGGAAGAAGTTGGGAGAGGAGGAAGCTATTAAAGAGAAGGATTTCAGTGTATCTAAAGGTTGGTTTCACTGCTTCCTGAATCGGTATAGCTTCAAAAATATCAAGATACAGGGTGAGTCTGCTAGTGCCAATATCCAAGCAGCTGAAACCTTTCTTGGTAAGCTTAAGAACATAACCGAGGAAGGCTAGCCGGCAACACCTCACAGCAGGTGTTTAACATCAATGTAACTGGCATCAAATGGAAGTGTATGCCATCTCACACTTGCATCTCCAAAAAACAAACCAGTGCACCAGGTTTCAAGACATTTAAAGACCACATAACTTTGCTTGTGGGATGTAATGCAGCTGGTGACTTTATGCTTAAGCCCTTGCTTGTGTTTCGCAGTGATATTCAACGGGCATTGAAAAATCTTGTCAAAGTTTGTCTTCCTGTGACTTGGAAGTCACAGCAAAAGGCACGGAGTACACGACAATTTTCTGAAATCAACATTAGTGATGCAGCCCAAGGATATGGTCATTCGTTGTCTTAAGGCATATTATTTATGTTTTACATTCAGAAAATTAACCACAGAAACAGATGGAAGTGAAGTGATTGTGTAACAATTTTGGAAGAACTTCAATATTTTACAATGTATGCAGCTACTCGGTCAAGTTTGGAAAGAAGTTTCACCTCAACTCAAAAATGGTTGCTGGAAGGATTTATATCCAGAACTGTTCACCCTTTTGAGGGCTTTGATGCTGCCCAAGTGCACACTGAGATTTCAAGTCTAGCAAAAGATGCAGGCTTAAACAATGTTCGTGAAGATGATGATCAAGAATTGTTACAATCTATTTGAGTGTCATTTACAAACAATGTAATGGTCCCGATTACACCCAATTCTTATTAATTCTCATGGAAATTAATTCCCCTTTATAAGTGGTTTCACTATCAGAGGCTTTTTTCTGGTCCTTATTAACACACACATCCTTAACATTGCCGAAGCTGCCTCCCGAAAGTTGGGAATGCTGTACAGATGCCGTAGCTACTTCACTCTTGAGCAGTTGCTCCAAGTATATAAGGGATTCATTCGTCCTAACTTGGAGTACTGCTCTAATATCTGGGGTGGCTCTTCTTGTCCAACTGTTAGATAGGGTGGAATCAAAAGCATTTCATCTTATTAACTCTCCTTCTCTAGTTGACAATCTTTCTTCCCTTTCTCTGCGCCGCAATGTTGCTTCATTCTCTCCCTTTTACGGGTACTTTAACGGTCAATGTTCGGTGGATTTGCCAGCAGTGCCCACCGTTCCTCTGTGGATGTCGGTCACACTAGAATAATCCGTTATAGTGCATCCTTCTTTCCTCACACAACCAAACTGTGGAATGCTCTGCCTTCTTCTGTGTTTCCATATTCATATAATGTCTCACTTTAAAAAGCTGGTTTTCAGGCATCTGCGTGGTGTAGATTAATATAACCTTTTTCTTTTCTATTTCTAATTTCTTTCTATTCTTATTTTTTCACACCCTATGCCCCGTTGTGGGTCATTCAACCTGTGCCCGGGTGGGCTAATTCTCCAAAAGAAAGAAAAAAGAAGAAAAAAAAAGAAAAAAACATGGATAACGAGGACCCCTTGTATACGTGCACACACACTGGGAGAATGCGAGTAAACCAGGGAGACCACAACAATGTGTGGCGAGGTGCAGCGGGAAAATGAGTGACCACGCAAAGCAATAATGCGAGCCCACGCGGGCACTACCAGAAACTCCCTTCCTCTAGCAGATGGCTCCCCACGATGAAGAAACAAATATCGGCAAAAAATTTTTCAGCTAAATCAAACTTCCACTACAAAGAATTTGCGTTATAAGGAATGATTACTGTACTGTACGCCTTTTATGGAGGCTACACAAAAAATTCTTGCAAGATCTCCAAAATAAAATTGTGCATTAAAGATCTAAACTTACTTTTCAGTACTGTAGAGGGTGTGCCCAACTCGACACACAACTTTTACATTGTGATCCTTCGCCAACTTCTCTATTTTCTCATCTCGTATGCAGGAATATGGTTCTGTATCTACTTCCCAAGTGAGTTTCTGAACATTCCAGTCTTTAAAGAGCTTTGGAAATAATTCCTCTGGAGTTCCTCGAGCTATGAACAACCTAAATAAAAAACAAAAAGATTAATACTGTGAAAGCATTTCATTATAATACCCATTACAGTATGCTTACAAGTTACATTTACCATACAGTCAGCCCTCGCTTTACGCGGTCCCACTTTACGCGTTTCCACGTTTACGCGGTACCCTGCTGAAACCGGAATGCTCACTTTCCGCGGTGAGTGTACCCCTTTACGCGGAGAGCGGCTGGCGAGCCGCGCCATTTTTGGATCCAAACCTCCTGCCATCTCTCCCGCCATCCGCCATGTTGTGTAAGCAGTGCGAGTAGGATGCGCAGTGTGTGTCTTTGTTGCGTTATCAGTGATGTCATATGACGTATCAGAATGTAATTGGGCCTTGCATCCTTACCTCCCTCCGCTGCTAGCTGTGATTGGTTTAAAATAATATGACGTGTCCACCCGCGGGAGGGAGGGAGGAAAGACGACGCTTGACCTAGCCGCGGCAGTTTCATCCCTCCAGGCCACACCATGTATACGTGATTCCATTATTCTGTAAAATGACTTCCGCCGGACCACTGCCCCCAGAGAGAAACCTTTCCTTACCTGGACCCAGCCGCCCTAAGCCAAAGAAGACACGACGTTCCTTAAGCTATGAAATTAAGTATAAGATCATACAAGAGTTGGAGAAAGGAACAAGACAGGTTGATCTCGCGCGCCAGCATGGTGTTAACGAGTCTACGATCAGGACAATTAAGAAGGATGCAGCCAAGATAAAGGAGCACATGAACATCACAAAGTCTACAGGTGCTTCTATGATCAAGTATTTCCACAACCAGGTGCTTCTCAAGACGGAAAAATTACTTGTGAGCTACTTGGTGCGTCAGGCACGACGGAACATGGCGGTGGACACGCGCTCAGTTAAGGAGTACGCACGTGAACTGTATGCTGCAGTGTCACGAAAGATGGGAATTACAGAGCCCAAACCCTTTAATGCTTCCTCTGGGTGGTTACCATTATCAACATTGGTGGTGAAGAAGCTAGTGCTGACCGTGTTGCGGCTAGGGAATTTCCTCCGTTTTTACGTGAGATTATGGAGGAAGGACAGTACACCGACGACCAGGTGTTTAACATGGACGAATCTGGTCTTTTTTGGAAAAAGCTACCTTCCAAGACCTTCGTTGTGAAGAATGCCAGCAAGTGTCGGGGCCGGAAGTTGCAGGAGCGCATCACCGTCCTGTTTACCACCAATGCCTCCGGTACCTGTAAGTTCAAGTTATCGGTGATCCACACAGCACGCAAGCCGCACGCCTACAAGAGTATGGACATGACCAAGCTAAATGTCCTTACGTGCGTGGATGTTCTCTACACTGTCCCTCTCCTGGTTTGATGACTGTTTCGTTCCCGATGTGAAGAAATTCTGTGAGCAACAGAATGTGCCATTCAAGATTTTGTTGCTGCTGGACAACGCACCAGGACACTCGCCCCTACTGTTAGATCGTCACCCCAACGTAAAAGTGGCCTTCCTTCCTCCCAACACTACGTCTATATTACAGCCCATGGACCAAGAGTTAATCTGTAATGTAAAAGCTGCATTCTCTACTAAAAAATTCAAGCTCCTGAACGACTACACCAACACCAAGGAAGAGTTGCGTAACCTGAGTGACACCAACACCGAGAGCGAAGATGATGAGGATCAACAGTTGGCAGAGCAAGAAGTACTTTTAAAACAATTCTGAAGAACATTCAATGTCAAGAAAGCTATGGACTTCTTGGTGGAGGCATGGGATCAGCTGTCTGTAGCAACTGTTCGTCACGCATGGAGACATGTGTTGCAAGGCATTCCGGCCGTTAGGCAGAGTCAATCTGTGACTGGTGAGGTTCAGACTATTGCAGTAGCAGTGGACCTTGCCAGAGAAGCTGCGCAGAGTGTTACAGCTGCAGGCTTCTCCGAGACCACCAACGACGACATCCTGGAGGTGATAAGGGATCCTGATGTGACTACCGACGAGATGGTAGATGATGATGACGTCAGTGAAGAGGCAGGTGGTGAGTCATCCCAAGAAGAATGCCGCTTATCCCATAGTAATGTTAGGGGTGCCATCAAGTGTATCGAGAAAGCCAAGCGCCTCCTTTCCGACGACCCTGACGCAAAGAGGTATGAAATCTTCACTACCCAGCTGTTGCAGACTATGGAGCACTACATTAAGGTTTATCACGACAACATAAACACCAGCCGTCAGCAAAGCATAACAGAGTTCTTCGCCCGCAACCCACCACAGCCAGCCCAAGCCAGTGATAGTGACAGAGGTAGAGACAGTGATGATGACTTTGAGGGGTTTGTCAGGGAGGCACTAGTAAGTGTGGATGACACTGATGAAGACTCACCTGAGGGCCAGTAGCCTGCCCTCTGCCTCGGAACCAGCTTCCATTCCCCTACGCCGACCCATCTCTTCTACTTAACCCCAGCCTTGTTTTTTTCTAACCTCACCTTCATTTTATTCTTCTCTTATTGACTGTTCCCTTCTATATTATGTGTGGGTGAATACCATCATAAAGTTAAGAGGTTATTTTTAGTAAAACGTACGTATTGTGTCGGGAAAAAGTGGAGTTTGGGGGTCGGCCCGGTCTCTATTTCAATTAATCCCATATGTTATGTTGTTCACTTTACGCGGGCCGCCGTGGGTTGAATTAACCTCGTAAAGTGAGGGTTCACTGTATATTCAAAGGAACACCAACAAAATTCTTTATAGATTAAGTCATCAGGAATTATGTGATCAACTTCACCTCTCCTTTCTCACAACACTGACATTCACTTAGTCTGTTAATGCCCCTCTGTTCTTGGAAAATGTAAATATAATTTACACTTTCAACTACAGTAATTACAATACTAAATGCAACTACAGTCAACCCTCACTTTACGCGGTTAATGTAACCCACAGGGTGCCGCGGAAAGTGAGGAACGCGTAAAGTAAATAACATAACATATGGGATTAATTGAAATAGAGTCCGGGCCGACCCCCAAACTCCACTTTTTGACGACACACAACTATGTTGGAGTAAAAATATTATCTTAACTTTATGATGGTATGCACACACAATTAATAATTAAGAGAAATATCAATAATATTAGGTTTTTTAACACTTACATTAGTAGAAAAGATGGCTGGGCACACGGGGATGGGCGGTTGGTTCCGAGGCAGAGGGCAGATTATTAGCCCTCACCTGTATCACCTGTATCACTTGTATCTATCCACCAGAGAGGCTTGTAGGGCCTCTTTGTCAAACCCCCCAAAGTTCATATAAGTCCATATCCTCACTATAATTATCACTATCACTGACTTGGGCCGGCTGTGGTGGGTGGCGGGTGAAGAACTGGTAATGTTTTGATGACTGGGCGACCTTGTGCGCACCATGTTCGCACCGCTTACACAACATGGCGGATGGCGGGAGGTTTGGATCCAAAAATGGCGCGGCTCGCCAGCCGCTCTCCGCGTAATGGGGTACACGCACCGCGGAATGTGAGCATGTTAGGTTACGGCAGGGCACCGCTTAAACGTGGAAACGCGGAATGTGGGACCGCGTAAAGTGAGGGTTGACTGTACTGTATTACATTCAGATATTAAACCTCCATTCTCTGTGGGCTTTTCCTTCTTTCCTGTGAATTTTTTTTCAATATTAAATTTCATAAACACAATATTGTTTGGTACCCCATATTACTAACATAAGTACAGAACTGAAATATCTTAACCAGTTCCTGAATACAACATTATCATTCTATATACTGTACTGTACTGTACTCAAATACTGTATGTACAGTACTATCCATGACTATAATCATCCAAATCCATCCTTGTAATAATATTACACTGTTATTTTTTTTTAATTTTAAGTCCTCACTCTGGTTTTTATACTTCTGCTCTGCAATAATGCACACATGCTCTCAATCTTACCTCGATCCCAGGTCCCGCAGCTTAATATCCAAATCAGCAAGTGTCTGTGCCAAGAATCGCCACCTATTACTTCCCACCCGAGCATTGGTCACAAACCATGGGTCCAGGATAAATAATGGTCGTAGCTCACAGTTCTAGGGGTAAAATTGTGTATTCAGTATATACCTGTACTACAATGTGTACACAAAGTACTAATAAATCAAACCAATTTTTATGTACAGTATGGTGTAAATTTCTCATGATAAAAAATATTCTTACCAAGGGAATTACTGGACTACATAAAAAAACTATATTACAGTACTGTAAACCGTCACTATTCGTGGGGGTTAGGTTCCAAGGAATGGCGCGAATTGACAAAACCGCAAATACCAACTTATACTACCTTAGTGCACTACTGTATACCTATATACAGTGTATGAGAAACTTAAGTCACCAATACTACTCCCCTTTGTATTTGGAAGTTTGGAGCTTGATAAAGTGTACTACACAATAGAATGAAATCTGGTTTCTGAAGCATAGGGAGATCATCAGGATCACTGTTGGAAGAGGGTGAGAAAGTGGTGGTTGGTTGGGAGACAGGTGGTGGAGAGGCGCAAGGTGGGTATGTGATGTCTCGTGGGGAGGTGGGTGGTGGAGTGGCAGCAACAGCTGACCAAGTAGGTGAAGGAAACGAATCAGATGGGCGAGTGGCTTTCTTGAAAAACATCGTGATTGGTAGTTGTTTCCTCTTGGCTTTGAGGTCTCTAAATGTTCCACTCCACTCACATCACTAGCACTGACACTAGGCAGTCTTTTAGGGGCCATTTAACACAGAAATACAAAAGTTTTGAGTACAACACAAGAGATGGTGCATCACAGGTAATGGTTGAGTGCAAACCAAGGGAGAAGAGATGCTGTGGGTGAGTGGGGGTGACTCGTTGTGCTACGGGAGAGGCTCATAAGCTAGCCACCATCTGCTTACTGTGAAGTCGAAATTGTGAATCGCAAATTCACAAATAGCAAGGATTTACTGTACTGAAATATGTTTTAATAGTGTACTACTTTTGTGAAGAGTTGTTTTGTGGAATTTAAATAAAAATTTCTGTATGAGGATGAAATCACCGTGATTAATAGTTGTACCAGAAATGAAGATAAATACAGTTCAGCTATATACAGTGTATGTATTAAAAAAATTGAAAAATAGATATAAAATAGGGGGAAATTTTAAACATGGGGGAACTGTAGACACCCTACCAATCCATTTCAATACGTACATGGCTAGAGCACAAGACTTACAGAGTTTTGCTTCATCTCTTGCCTTTCTAAGAGGAAAGTATTATTTAATACATTCTGGATCAAAGGGGCACAGTCCTCAGCTAAAGTCATCAACTCAACTCAAGACTTCTAAAAGAAGACCAGCAAAACACAGAATACAGTACAGTTTGTGACTCTAGGTAGTATACTGTACAAGGTTACTTTCATTTTTAATATTGTAAAAAGATTAATTATCGGTATTGAGAAAGCCTCATCCTTCGACCTATATTGCCAGGTACAGGTTGTACCTCTCTAGTCCGGCAACCTCGGGACCTGACCGGTGCCGGACCATGGAAATTCACCCTTTTCCTGGATAGATAGTGACTTGTGCTTATGCTTGGAAGCACTAGCACCACTTTCTCTGCTTCATGGTCACTTTGAAGACATATTGAAGGGTTAAATGTCGTACAGTAGCTTCTCAAATTTTGCGAGTTTTTAATTCAACGTTTTTTATTGGAACACACAAAAAACAAAACAATTCAAAATTTTGACGGTGGAAACTCGAATTTCAACGGGTTTGAACGGCTCACCAATGTTCAGACGTGCACAATCGTGTAAACAGCGTCATTTCTCTTATGTACAAAGGATTCATTATTGTTTATTACTGAATGTCTTTTTGATTGAATTAATGTTTATGTCTGCAAAATGAGCAATACAATTCATTATAAATACGTAGAATATTAAAACACACGAGGAGACGAGACGGCTTTGTTTTCGTTGTTTACAAAACCAGTGACTGACTGGTTCTACATATAAAACTGAAGAAAATAAGACCCTGGTTGTAGCTGTAGTAAAATTAATATGGTTGTTTTAAGTAATGTTATTTAATGTTACTAAATGGAACAATAGAAGTAGCTAACGATAATGGTAAAGAAAAAAAGAGAGATCGCATATGTACTGTAAGTGCACACACGTGAAAACATATCGTCATTACTTTACATAAGAATATGAAAGCAACACTTATTTACTGTTTATATATATTTTAATTAATGTTTCTCATTTTTTTTATTGAATTAATGTTTGTGTGTGCAAAATGAACAATACTGTACAATTCATTAATAATACGTGGAATATTAAAACACACGAGGAGACGAGACGGCTACTGGCATTGTTTTCGTTAATGCTTACAAAACCAGTGACTGATATAAAACTGAAGAAAGTAAGACCCTGCTTGTAGCTGTAGTAAAATTAATGTAAAAAATTTAATATGGTTGTTTGAAGTAATGTTATTTAATGTTAATAAATGGAACAATAAATAAGTAGCTAACCATTAATGATAAAGAAAAAAGTGAGACTGCGCGTATGTAAGTGTGCACATGTGAAAACATATAGTCATTACTCTACATAAGATTATGAAAGCAACACTTATTGACTGCTCATATATATTGAAGGGTTAAATGTTGAACTCTGTATAGACAAGCAGAGAGAGAGAGAGAGCAGCCGAACTGCCGGAAGTAAACAAACCTTAATTTCCCGCAGCTTTGTTGTTTTTTTTTACGGGGATTAGCCCACCCGGACATAGGTCACTGACCCACATTGGGGCCTGAGGGGCGAAAATTTAATACTCCTGTAATAATAATAATAATAATTCAGATAAGTTTAAAAAAAAAAGAGAAAAAAAGCTCCCTATCTACCTATTGGACAAACTAAAATCTTTCCGGACCACGGGAGTTTCCGGACCACAGAATGCCGGACTAGAGAGGTACAACCTGTATAATAAAAAAAAAACCCTGTCCCTCAAACTTGGTAGTGCATGACAGTGTCACAGTATAACTTGTAACCTCTCACTTGGGGATGTTTGCTATATTGGTTAGCACCCTTACAAAGTGATCTTTCACTTTTTTAATTGGTCTATGATTCTCAGAAGTTAGAGTAAATCTTTAAATTATTTTCTACTTTTTGTGATAGCAAAACCAACATCCTTATTTTCCTGGCTATTCAATTTTCAGAATTGTCTGGATGATACATACAGTAACCAAAGGCTTTAAGTACAGTGCGGGTATTACTATTTAAATGTGTAAAATGGTATACAGTATTATATGAAAGAAAAGAGACTGACAATCATCAGAGAAATACAGTACAGTAAGTCCTCGCTTAACGTCGTGGTTCCGTTCCTGAAAACCGCGACTTTAACTGAAACAACGTTAACTGAATCAATTTTCCCCATAGGAAACAGATAAAATACGGGAATTGCGTTCCCCAGCTTCCCTTTGCCCCATAAAATTCATTACATATACGTATACATAAATTCAATGGATTTTTTTTAAATAGTATATACAGTATTATACATCCAAAAAGATAAATATACTAGATCATTTTGTACTGAACTCACTGATGGGCAGAGGAGGAGCAAGTGTGTGGTGGGTAGTGGAGAGGAGGGGGGTGGGAGAGGAGGAGGAGGGCGGGAGAAGAGGAGGGTGGTGAGTCACTGAGACCCGGAGGGTGGCTTCTCCTCCCGCTCTGACTAGGTGAGAAAGGGTGATGCGCCTTTACAAGTAGTCCGTTAAGACGTTATAGTGTACCGAATCGGCGGGACGTTGTCCGAATCATGGGTACCTTAAGAGTAGCGACGTTATAACGAAACAACTTTGTTGGGGGCAAAGTTAAACAAGAACCTACTGTATGTTTAAAGGGACTTACTTCTTCTACAGACGCCAGTAGTGCTGGATTGTCATGAAGACGCAATCCTTTACGGAACCAGTGTATGGTAGTCATTTTTTTCAACATCTATTTGCCTAATCAATCTGCAAAGTAAATTGAATAAATCAAAACAATTTGAGCTCATATAAAATTGATAAAAATTCATACCACCAGGGTTTTTCTAGGGTCTTCCTGATTTACAGAACATATTCCCTTCATTGTTTCTCCATACATACTACAAATTATCCCAGGATGGGGGCAAGGTGCCCAGGAAGTGATAGTGATGTGCTTAACCCAAACACAACAAGGAAATCCATCAGTAAGAGTACACAGTACTACTGTACTAAGTTAGAAGTCTCATGGCATTTTGATGCTGGTGAGTATGTGGTGGTCACTGGTGTTGCTCTAGGTCTCACTCCCAACACTGTGAAATAAAATCATGATACAGGTAATGCTAATTTACCCACTTCACAATTAAGATTTAAATTACAGTACATGCCTTATCCTCAGCTATGCTTCAAAAGTCGTTCAAAACACATCAAACACTGTCGGAAAACCATAATTTCAACCTAACTTAACAGGTAAAATTATAATTTCTTTTATCCACCTATTTAGAAGGTTATTGTTTCACTTGTTGCCACTAAACGAATCTCAGGAATTTTATAGCTGCAATCAGTAGTTCTGACAATTGTAATACACCTATCTTCAATGGCATTTCTGGTGCTAATTATGAATAAGCTAGATATCAAAAATATTATAATGTATGTTCATATGTGGCGGTACACACCCAGAACATTAAACGACTGTGGAGCCCCAGGTTAGGTTAGGTTAAGTTAGGTTCAAAACTGTTTTTCCAATGTTTTTTATATGCTTTGAACACAATTTCCCTTGATTTTTATTGCAAATATCTAGATTCTGAGATGGGAGGGGGGACCTTATCTCAGATAACTATTAATTTGCGCCAGAAATGAAGGTCAAATTCATTCATAACACATCAAAAACCACTTGAAAAACATAGTTTCAACTTCGATTTCATAGTATAAATTTACCTCTGGAAGTATGTCAGAATCGTTCAAAATACATCAAACACCATCGGTAAAACATAATTACAACCTAATCTAACTTACGTAATACTCTCTCGGACGGTGGTTAACTTAGGGTCCGACTAATTACCCAAATGTACCCAAATGTAGCCAAATATAGCCGGAATGAAGTCAAATAATGGTCTTAGATGAATAAATCGGACTGCCAATCACTTCTCGACTAGTATTTGGTGTCAGAAAGTCACAAAAAATTGGTAAACTTAATTTAAACTGAGTTAATAGAGCAAGTGCATGTACCTAACCTAATCTAATCTAATCTGTTCTCACCTCACCTCACCTAACCTAACACAACTCAGATTAAATTAAGTTTGCCAATTTTTTTTGACTTTATGACACCAAATAATAATCGAGAAGTGATTCACAGCCTGAATTAAGCTTGTAGGACCATCATTTGACTTCATTGCGACTACATTTGGGTAATTACTCCCTCCGTCGGTACATGCACGCGATCTATTAACTCAGATTAAAGTAAGTTTTCCAATTTTTTGTGACTTTCTGACACCAAATACTAGTCAAGAAGTGATTAGTAGTCAGATTTATTCATCTAGGACCATTATTTGACTTCATTCCGGCTATATTTGGCTACATTTGGGTAATTAGTTGGACCGGTTAACTTATCCTACTGCATGACCGAAACGATAATAATACCCATAATCTCAAATATATATATATTTATATATATATATATATATATATATATATATATATATATATATATATATATATATATATATATATATATATATATATATATATATATATATATATATATATATATATATATATATATATAGTTTATTGATGAATGGTATGCAGTATAAAATAGTAACTTTTCCTCACGAAAAATTAGTAAAGTATCCAATCTAAAATTTAATATCGACTGAAAAAATCGAAAAATAAAAACATCCCAAAACTGAGACCTTCACCATCTTGTTAGATGTTGAACCTAACTCTGACAACACACATGTAAGAGATTTCGATACGGAACTCTTGTCACTAGAGTTCACATTTACCTGCCAGCAGCGTCACTCACCGTGTTGAAGGTGGCGGGACACTCGTCACGCAATGTTTACAAATGTTAAGCTCTGCAGAACAAACTATGAGGTTCAATTTATAGCCAATGGCAAATTAGTTCCAAGTTAACTACGTTCTGATTGGTCTTTATAAAATGATGACGTTTAAATGAGAAACTTCGAAGAGGTCTAATGTAACCTTACGTAATGTTTGCATAATAAGAAAATTTAGGTTTATATTCAATATATTAAACATCATTTATCATCGTAAAATTATTACAACTGCATTATCTTAACACTGTAATATTTTTCATTAATAAACGATACGATTTCTATATAATTATACTTATCAGTAATAATAATAATAATAATAATAATAATAATAATAATAATAATAATAATAATAATAATAATAATAATAATAATAATAATAATAAGAAGAAGAAGAAGAAGAAGAAGAAGAAGAAGAATGTTTATTCAATAAAGTTGCAGGGGCAGATCCAGAAATCTCAAAAGAGGGGTCCAAGAAGTTTTGGGTAGGGTTACAGGGCGAGCAGAGAGCCCACCCCAGCTGTAAGCCTCCGGAATTTTTATTTAATTTAATTTTTAAATCTGCCCATTGTCATATTGGTAATAACATGGGCATTTTGAGGTCATTTTGAAGCCATGTGCACTTGATATTAGGAGACATTCTTAGGTAATTACTGTTTACTATACAATACTGCATTAAAGACAATGTCTTGGAATTTTCGGATGGAAAGGGCCGGGTCTGGACCCCCAGGATCTGCCCTTGAATTTGGCATACAAATGGGTAATGCCATAGCAGCCATACCTTCACCAGCCCACTGCCCGCCGCACCGCCTCTCGACAGATTGGCGCCTTGGCACAGCGCGCAGGTACAGTTACAGATATACTGTAGTGGATTCCTCCCCTACAAGTGTCGTTTGTCGCTGAGTAGCCGAACCTTCTCGAATTCCCCAGCCTACGCCTCCAGCGCCGCCTGACGGAGCGGGGGTCAACTATCAACCCACGCCTACCCCCGCCTTATAAGACCTCACACCACTGTGACCACCTTCTTTCTACCCACGGCCACCAGCAAGAAACACCTCCTCCGCCCGCTCCCGCCGGCGACCTTGGCGTCCCTCAAGCTGCGTGCCCTCCTCTGGGCACCCTCACCAACCAGCTCTCTCTACTCAATGCTTGTAACCATGCTGCCTACCCAGCAACAAGCTGCATTGTACATCCAATACAATATGTATACAGAGAGCACATTGTGAGTTTCCTTTCTCCATCCCATCCTGAGTGTGAACCAATATCTCATAACCCCACAATACTTTTACTTTTATCCTCTTCGCCACTGATCGGCTCGATAGCCTCGTAGGCGGTCGGGGGTCAGGTCACGGTCCGACTAATTACCCAAATGTAGTCGCACTGAAGTCAAATGATGGTCCTACAAGCGTAAATCGGGCTGTGAATCACTTCTCGATTATTATTTGGTGTCATAAAGTCACAAAAAATTGGTAAACCTAATTTAATCTGAGTTGTGTTAGGTTAGGTTAGGTACATGCACTCGATCTATTAACTCAGATTAAATTAAGATTACCAATTTTTTGTGACTTCGTGACACCAAATACCAGTCGAGAAGTGATTGACAGTCCGATTTATTCTTGTAGGACCATTATTTGACTTCATTGCGGCTACATTTGGGTAATTAGTCGGACTCGTCGGTCACGTCTGTTATACAGTTTTCTGGACTTTAGACTTCTTCAACCTTGAGTTGTGACTCCTCGGTTCAAATATGTTACTTGCATATATAAACATGGACAATTTGATTATTTCTTGCAAATTGTTGCAAATTGTAGATTATAATGCATATCTGGCACCTGATATGTATAGTATGTAATGCCATTCAATAAAAAACTACATATTTCATATCAGCTAGTTATTGTTGAGTATCAGCTGTTTCCAGTTGTTGCTGTTCCTCCCCTTCTCTGTAACGTATGATCAACCAGTAAACACCAAAATAAATCTTAAGGTTCTCTTTGTCAAATCTTAGTACCTCTACCTTAAATTGTCTCTAGACAACATAATCTATTGAACAGAACCTTAAACCTCCTGCAGCTCACCGTGGAGGGTGCCACTAAAAAAGAAAAGGGTGTCAGACAACTAGTAATTTACACACTAATACACTCTGCTGGTCAAGCTCACCTGTCTATAATTATTTGTGACGTGGCAATTTCTTAGTTTGAATAGAGGACACACATATTTAATTATTCTAATAACAACTTCCTCATGTTTTATACTTTGTGGTTAGATCCTGGCTGCTCCATGCGTGGGTACAGGAGACTCAGATGATTACGGGTAAAGGAGTCTCAGGTGATCAAGGGTGCAGGAGTCTCAGGTGATCAAAGGTACAGGAGTCTCAGGTGATCAAGGGTGCAGGAGTCTCAGGTGATCAAGAGTACAGGTGTCTCAGGTGATCAAGGATACAGGAGTCTCATGTGATCAAAGGTACAGGAGTCTCAGATGATCAAGGATGCAAGAGTCTCAGGTGATCAAGGGTACAAGAGTCTCAGGTGATCAAGGGTGAAGGTGTTTCAGGTGATCAAGGGTGAAGGTGTTTCAGGTGATCAAGGATGCAAGAGTCTCAGGTGATCAAGGGGACAGGTGTCTCAGGTGATCAAGGGTACAGGTGTCTCAGGTGATCAAGGGTGCAGGAGTCACAGGTGATCAAAGGTACAGGAGTCTCAGGTGATCAAGAGTACAGGTGTCTCAGGTGATCAAGGGTACAGGAGTCTCAGGTGATCAAAGGTACAGGAGTCTCAGGTGATCAACAGTACAGGTTTCTCAGGTGATTACTTTTCCTTTTTTTTATCTTCTTCACCAAATGATCGGCTCGTTAGCCGCTTGGGCGATCGGTCACGTCTCTGTTACGCACTGTTGGCAAGTACTGGGCATGCACCGGCTCCTGAATGCACCTGAACCCCTCCAGTGTTGGTCAAGTCTGGTCTTGAAAGAGCTCACACTCGGTGCCGTCACAACACTTTCTGGTAGATTGTTTCAAAGAGTTCACAACTCTCACTCCGAAAACGTTTGCCCTCACAGTTTTCTGGACTTGCAGCTTCTTCAATCTTGAAGTGTGACCCCTTGTGGGGCGAGCGTCTCCTAGCTCCAAGCAAGGACACTCGACTGAGTAGTGCCCCTTGAGATGCTTACACACCTCAATTGGGTCCCCCCTTGCCCGTCTGTAGTATAAGCTAGGCAAGTTCAGACGCTCCAATCTCTCAGGTTAGCTGAGGTGCCGAAGTGCAGGCACCAGTCTGGTGGCCCTCCTTTGAACATTTTCAACCAACTGACAGTTCCTAGCATATCTCGGGGACCAGATGGGGTGACAGTACTCCAGATGGGGAAGCACTTCACTCTTGAAAATCGTTACGAGGAATGGACCGTCTAGATATCTGAACGACCTTCTTATCAGACCCAATAATTTATTTGCTTGATTTACCTTCTTCTCGCAATGGCCCGAGAACTTCAGCTTATTGTCAACATACTGTACAGTACACACCTAGGGCCTTCTCACGTTCAGTCTCAAATAGTGCAGTTTCTTCATCCTGTTGGGACATATGATACGCCTCCTTACCGATGGTACGCCCCAGGTGCATTCTCTTACACTTCATGACATTGAATCTTAGCAGCCATTTCTTCGACCATTCTTGGAGTCCACAGAGGTCCTTCTGCAGCTCTTCACAGTCCACTTGCTTCTTGATTTCCCGAAATAACTTGGCGTCATCGGCAAACATTTGTATGGAGGAGTGTACAACGTCAGGCATGTCATTTATGAAACAAACAAACAACAGCGAGCCCATCACATTGCCCTTTGGTACCCCTCTTGTGACAGTTACGGATGATGATTTCGTGCCATTAATCACAACACACTGCTTGCGGTCATGTAGAAAGTCTTCTATTTACGCTAGGACAGTTCTCCGAATTCCGTGCCCTTCCAGTTTGATTTTCAGCCTTTCGTGGGGTACACGGTCGAAAGCGTTGGCAAAATCTAGGTAAATATTGTCGATATTACCACCCCGTTCCAGAATATGGGTCCAAATAGCCAATACCTTGAGCAATTGTGTTAAGCAGGAGCGCCCCGGCATAAAACCGTGTTGGCAATCCTTTACAAGGTTGTTTCGTAGTAGATGTTCCATCGCAGCATCTCTGATAATACTCTCAAGTACTTAACATATTATGCTGGTCAGGCTCACCGGTCTATAGTTGTTTGTGGAGTGACGATCGCCCTTCTTGAAGATAGGACTCACATATGCCACTTTCCATTCACTGGGGACCTTTGCTCATCTAGTCATTTACAAAACAGGATCTTCAGGGGCTCGGCAAGCTCGTTGCACAACTCTCTTAGCACTCTAGGATGCACCATGTTAAGGCCGGGACTCTTATGGACCTTTAGCTTTGACAGTATATTTCTAATACCCTCTTCTGTGAACACAATGTGGGTCAGTGCTGTGTCGAACCGTCTGTCCTTAAACGTAAGACGGTTAATCGCATCCTCTCTTGTGAACACCGAGGAAAAGAAGCTGTTCAATGCCTCAGCTTTATCCTCGCCAGAATCTGCGTAACTACCATCTTCAAGCTTCAGGTGTGATACTCCTACTCGCGTTTATAATTTCGAATTTGCATAGCGGTAAAACGCCTTTGGGTTTGACTTGACCTCGCTTGCAACCAGCCTCTGGAACTCCTTTTCAGCCCTTCTACATTCTATCTTTGCTTGGTTTCTGGCTTTTGCATACATCCTCCTGTCCTGCTCATCATTTGACCCAACCCACGTCTTGAAATTTTTTGTGGTTTCTTTGCAATTTACATTGCAGTTGACCTCGTGTCTTATACGGAGTTTTTCGCCCACTGGGCGCCTGAATCCATTGCAACCCGAAACGGTAAATAAAAGTTGTCTTCTAGTTATGTACTTAAAATTTATTTTCAAAACGAGGTCAATTAAATGTTATATTAGATATATGGCAGTTCAAAGAAAACTACTTAGCCCTACTGAATATGCACAACCAAAATATATAAACTAATCAGTCGAAAATGAATTAAATTTAGGTCTTCCTACAATAAATCTGATCACCAATTTCACGTCTGTCTTTACAATACAAAATATCCTGTGAAAGAATTTATTAACATGCGTTTAGTGAAGGCACAACTGCTGGCGATGTACGAAAATTTACAAGGAAAACTCTAGTATCACACGATTGAAATGTTATGCATTTCTAGGAAACTTTAGTGAATGGATTAGAGCTTCCCTCCGTCGTTTCAGACTACTTCAATATAGGGGTAGCAGGCAGTGTGTTTCCCTTCCTTCCCTACTCCCTAAAGCCACATCCAAGGTTTTCATCATTAGTGTAAGACAACAGGAGCGAGTGAATGTTCATCATAGCTGATCTTAACTGATAAATTATTTAATTAGTCTGTTAGTTAAAACTATTATAAAATATCCAAAGAGACCAAGAACAGTATTCTTTACTCATAGTAATAGACCAGAGTGTAATAAAATTGTGTCTGTTAAATTAAAGAACTACTCCATGGCTTACCAACCTAACATTTTATCATTAATTCTGCAGTGATCTTTCACAAAAATTCATATTTTTAGTGTAAAATGCAGTCGCTAAAAAACGATCTTTGAGGGGGTCGATGAATTTCAAAATGAACACTGCTATGCCTGTTATCTTGGCAGGGTTGTCAATCCTTCGTTCAAGAAATCATAATTATTGGCTAACACAATTTTGTAAATATAGTTTTTTGAGCGACTGTACAAACGCATATTATGAAAGTTGGCTTAGATAATAGATAATACAGAGCCAAGATTATGAACAACACTAGGGGAGGCCAGAGGTCCATTGTCCTCCATATCGGTGAAGAGTGGGCCAAATTTTCTTTTACCCCCCCCCTAAAGAAGTGGAATATTTTTTCTGAAGATTGGAGTTTGTTACTTTCCAGGTACACACACACACACACACACACACACACACCACACACACACACACACACACACACATATATATATATATATATATATATATATATATATATATATATATATATATATATATATATATATATATATATATATATATATATATATATATATATATATATATATATATATATATATATATATACAAATGAATTTTTACTTAAAAAAATAAATCAGTGAAAGATTGAGCACAGGTGGGGTGGGAGGCAAGTTGAGCCACAGGTGGTGAGAAGTTGAGCCAGGTGGTGAGGGAGGTAAGTTGAGCCAGGTGGTGTGGGAGGAGGATTGAGCCAGGTGGTGAGGGTAGAGGTGAGATGGTGAGGGAGGTAAGTTGGGCCAGGTGGTGAGGGAGGTAAGTTGAGTCACAGGTGGTGGGAGGTAAGTTGAGCCAGGTGGTGGGGAGGTAAGTTGAGCCAGGTGGTGAGGGAGGTGTGAGGGAGTAAGTTGAGCCAGGTGGTGGGGAGGTAAGTTGAGCCAGGTGGTGGGGGGGAGGAAGTGTGGAGGCAGTTGAGGTGGTGAGGGAAGTTGAGCCACAGGTGGTGTGGGGAGGGTTGAGCCACAGGTGATGTGGGAGGGTTGAGCCACAGGTGGTGTGGAAGGCAAGTTGAGCCACAGGTGTGTGGGAGGTAAGTTGACAGGTGGTGAGGGAGAGTAAGTTGAGCCAGGTGGTGAGGGAAGTTGAGCCACAGGTGGTGTGGGGGCAAGTTGAGCCACAGGTGATGTGGGAGGTAAGTTGAGCCAGGTGGTGAGGGAGGTAAGTTGAGCCACAGGTGGTGTGGGAGGTTGAGCCACAGGTGGGAGGTAAGTTGAGTCACAGTGTGGGAGGCAAGTTGAGCCAGGTGGTGAGGAGGTGTTGAGCCACAGGTGGTGTGGGAGGCAAGTTGAGCCACAGGTGATGTGGGAGGTTGAGCCAGGTGGTGAGGAGGTGAGCAGGTGGTGGGAGGAAGTTGAGCCACAGGTGGTGTGGGAGGCAAGTTGGCAGGTGTGGGAGGCAAGTTGAGCCACAGGTGGTGTGGAGGTGTTGAGCCACAGGTGGTGTGGGAGGCAAGAGTCACAGGTGGTGTGGAGGCAAGTTGAGCCACAGGTGTGGGTGTTGAGCCACAGGTGTGGGGAGGTGTTGAGGTGGTGTGGGAGGCAAGTTGAGCCACAGGTGTGTGGGAGGCAAGTTGAACCACAGGTGGTGTGGGAGGTAAGTTGAACCACAGGTGGTGTGAGAGGCAGAGTCGAACGACAAGTGGTGTGGGAGGTAAAATCCCCCTTTGTATGTCCCTAGTGTGGAGGGATGGGAACCCCAAGGTGTGGTAAGGGGAGTGTGGGTGGGCCGGGATTGGCAAGACTGCTGACTCACTAGTCGAGCCTGAGCGGCCAGCCAGTCAGTTAGCACGAGGAGGTGCGGCAGGTGTGTTGGGGTACTGCTGTGTGACTTATTTTTGTATGCACATCGTTGATGAACTAACAGTGAACTGTGTAGGGCTGTAGTAAAAAAAAAACACAATGTATGTTATTACCACGATTATACTCGTGCGTATGGGATTGTGCTACGGATTGAGTTACGATGACCTTGTGACCATGGAAGCCGCCTGCTCACCCATGGACTCATGTGAACGTGACAAAACATTATCGCTGCCTCCCGAATGGTATAAAAAAAATTGCTTTTGTGATAAGATCTGTGCGGAATACGCTGACTGCTGCCTAGATTCGAAATATTATGATATGACAAGGCATAAAAAGAACCTTAAGAAACACCAGTGTATTCATCTGCGGCAGTATGGCGATATTTACACGACAGGAACGTGCATGGAAGACTGGCAGGACGAGGACGTGTCCAATCTGTGCCTCACAGGCTCCCCGCAGTCTAGCGGAGAAAGTCCTGACCCAGTAGGTAACCTGCCCGCCACCAGCCTTAACACTTTCATCACTTACAACAACTACTACTGCGCCATCTGTAACAATGACACGCAGGCGCTGAGGGTGTGGCCGACACGCTGGGAGTGTTCCACCTTGAGTAAGAGCTTCACGAACCTTTCAACCCAATATGTGATGACCAACATAGAGTTTAGAAACCAAAAATGGGGAGTGAACTTTAATAATACTGGAACATTTGAATTTCATGAATGTTCATTATTTCCTGTATTACCAGAGAAGTTGAAGAACGCGACAAGAAAGTGTTCTCAAGCAATCACGACGTGCGGGGAGGGATGGGGAGATGTGGACGTGGCTGACTTATGCCAGTCTTATACAGCCGTGGTTTACAACGATACAGTTCCCTATAGAAACCCTCACTGTGCTAGGTGTAATAACGTCACCCTGGAACAAACATCTTGTAGGTCTCAAGACATTACTGGAAGAACGAGAATTTTTGACTCGCAAGCTTTCTCTCTCTTGTTTGACTTCACTGACACCAGTGGCAGTAACGTGGTTGGGACAACTACAACCTGCCAAGAATCAGAAATATGGGATCCCTTCTTCAGAAAGTGCAGGAGTGTTGCATGTAGCAAACGAAATCAGAAGTTTCAGTACGATAAATGCGTCATCGTCGGTAATATCAATGCCGCTGTAAATACCGAGCCAAATAGAGTTCAACCCCCTACTTCTGTATCCATAGATGGTGTAGAGGAGACTGGAAGACGCAATAAACCCAGAGTGTTGCCGACGGACAACAGAGCAATCATCTTTCCTGACGATACCACCCACAGAGCGCAGATACAGGCTACATCAGAAACAACACCACCGAGCAGCACACTATCTATCACTAACACAGCTGTTTCTTCGAATGAATCTAATGAATTTCTTGAATGTAATAAAATACTTCTATCTGATAACGAATTCATGTTATACGAGAACGGAACCGTGTTTGTTGAGGCTTATGACCGCATCTACCGTGTGGAGGAGTACGAGGTGAATGAAGGTCACATCCTGGTGTGTTTGCCACAGACTTCCATAGAAAAGTTCTCTCAGTTGATGGGTTGGGTGTCTCTGGCCGGTCTTGGGTTGTCATGTGTGTGTCTTCTGCTCCATTTGGTCGTCTTCGTGTTGGTTTCAGATCTTAGGAACTTACCTGGAATGAACCTGGCGTCCCTTTGCTTGGCTCTTCTCATTTCGTATATAAGTTTCATCACAAACGTTTTTGCCAAACCAAGTCCAAGTGGGTGCATCGCCCTAGCTGCTGTTATGTATTACTTCTTCCTATCCTCTTTCACCTGGATGAATACAGTAGCCTTCGACATCTGGTACACTTTCCGACTAATCAAAACAGAATTACGAGTTTCAGGCGGAAAGCAGTGGCAGAAGTTTTTGGCGTATTCCCTCTATAGTTGGCTGTTGCCGGCCGTCGCTGTCACCGTTCTTATCATGTTCCATATACAACAGCCTAAGGGAATCCCCGAGGATTATCTCCCTAGCCTGGGCAAACGCTGGTGTTGGTTTGGCCATCGCAAGGCTCTGTTGGTGTTCTTTGCCATTCCAATGATCACTATCATCATCATCAACAGCGTATTTTTCATCTGTACTGCCAGAATAATCACAATGACTACTTCAGCCACCTCGACCATAACTGCAAGTACGCACCACAAGAACCAATATAAGCTGTACCTGCGGTTGGCCGTGCTAATGGGCTTCACTTGGGTCAGCGGCATCGCAGCCGGCTACCTGCAGCTGGAGGCCGTTTGGTACGTCTTCGTGGTGCTCAACACGCTGCAGGGAGTCTTCATCTTTTTGGCCTTTACTTGTAGAAGCAAAGTGTGGCGGACTGTGCGCTCCAGGTGCTGCGACATCCTACAGAGAGTAGCATCCTGGGCAGCTGGCCGCTCCCACCCCAACAGCCCCGTCGTGGAGCTCACCGAAACTCCAGACCACCAGTCACCTTCGCCCATTACCTCCACTGATGAGAGATGACTGTCCTGTAGTACAAGTAAGCGTCATTATCAAAATACGAAATGAATTACATCGTCATCACTCTTGACGAACACTCAGTTCCCAGAGGCAGCAATCATCATAACTACCACAAGCCATCGATCTTAATGCCTATATTTAAAGTCATCCACTGTTCCAGTATTCATCGTCATCATATATATTCTTTTAATACCTTGTCTCTCTAAGTCTGCATTTTGTTACCAAGGTTTGAGAGTACCATCTTTTGGGTGTTATTTTGGGTTGTCTCGGTAATCTCCTTAAAACAGTAATATATTTGTTATTTAATTCCTAACTTATTGTGTGTGTGTGTGTGTGTGTGTGTGTGTGTGTGACATGTTTATAAACTTCGTGAGCAGATCATATTTTAAATCTTTCATTCATTAACTATAGGTACATTCGTTCACCTAAAATGTTTTATTTATAAACATCCATCACTTAAATATCACTAATCGATATGTATTATACGTTTAAAAAAATATATTATCTTATGTATTTCAAATTTGTATGCTCTTACTAAAACATTTCAAAGAATTAAACGAATTTAAATTTAGTTTCATTGTTTATGTAATGATCCTTTACAGTATATAAGTTTGAGAATTTTTTCATTATTGAAGCTTACTAAAATAACATGAGTTTTGTTACATAGATAGTGTCGACACGTCACTCTATTTATATCACAGGAAATATATTAAAAAGGTAAAATTCATTGACGCCGAAATAAAATTCAATATTGCTGTAAATTACAGTGACTATCAACTTCGCCTCTTCCCTGAGACAATATCGCAAGAAAGAGATTATGACCAACAATAATTATTAGTGCTAAAATAAAATCGAGTTGTTAACATTCGATTCTTTTTCATATAACACAGAATTATCAGAACCCAATGACTATTTCTTTAACTAACCCACACACTGACTATTTCTTCAACTAACACACACACTGACTATTACTTAAACTAACCCACACACTGACTGTAACTTAAATTAACCAACATACTGACACCACTCATCAGTGACTGTTTCCTCTTTTAAATATCTCGGTGTCTGTCCCCTGTACCTCTCCTGTCATATATAACAGCTAACCCGCCCATGTACAGTCAGAATAAAACCCCTTAGAACTGTCACGGTGTACAACTTTTACTATGGTGCTAATCAGTGGCGATTCTAGGATTTTTTCCTGTGGAGGGAGGAAAGGCTCAGAAATGTCCACAATCTGTGTGATTGAGGGAGTACCCAGACACCAAGAAATGACTAGTGTAGGTGGTGGACTGTAATCATGTCTCCAAACCAGTTGTAAGCTGCATGGAAGCATTATCAAATTACTTGGAGAGGCTTAGATCTAACTTTTTATTAGTAAAATCAACTACTGTATTGGACAGTTTGCATTTAGACGTCATGAAATAATGCTATCACACTGTAATTCAAAATTGTAAAATGTATGGTATACACAGTTCACTGCAACAACGAAATAACAGTTTACAGTGAAATCCTCCTTTTTCACTCTGCTAAAGCTGCTGATAGCTTTGGTGAAATCAAGGGTTACTGCTAGATTTCTCAATGCTATTCAGGGCAAGAGCATATAAACGCTCTTCACCCATGGTTGATCTCGGCGGCTCCAGCTCAGCCTACCGGACAGGAGGAGGCGAGCGCCGAGTAAACAATGACATTTCTAACCACACCCTGCAAAATACAGTGTACTTAGCAAATACTGCAGCTTCTGAGAATGTGGGGGAGCGGGTTTATTACCAAGAGCAGAGACGTTACCGAGAACAAATTCTGGCTAGAATGTCATGTACACTAATACTGACACGTTCCTTGGTAAGAGAGAGGAGTTTGAAACACTACTAAGAGTACACCAACCAGATATTGGAGGTGTTGTAGAACTGTTGTACAAGAACAGGAGAATCGACCCAGAGGAATGTGAGTTCAGTATTGCTGGATATGACTCATTTACGAACCTTTCTCAAGAAACTTGCAAGAGGGGTGTGGTTATCTACGCAAGGCAAGACCTTAGAGCCAGCCAGGCGAGGGTACAGGGAGAGGATGTTTTTGAAGAGTCCAAGTGGTGTAAAATTAAATTAAAGGGAGGGGACTTACTTATCGTCGGGTGTATCTACAGATCCCCAAACTGTAGCCCACTAAATCAAAGGAACTTAAGAACCTTAATAAACAACGCGGCGATGCTCAACCCTAGCCACCTCCTTATCATGGGGGACTTTAAGTAAGACGACATCGACTGGAGAAACGAGTCCACCCTGAATGACTTGAATAACCCTGCTACTCTTTTTGTAGAAACTCTGAGAGATAATTTTCTGTTCCAACATGTTAGAGACCCGACACATTACAGAGGGGAGCAAACACCCAAGCCACTTGACCTCATCATAACAAACGAGGAGGGTATGGTGGCCAAACTGGAACATCTTGCCCCAGTTGGCACCAGTCACCATACAGTGTTGTCATTCAGATTTAACTGTTACTTAGTTCAGGATAAGGCCAGGCCAAGGTGCAAATATTACAAGGGAAATTACAATGGGATGAGGGAAGAGATGAGGGGTATCAACTGGCCTGACTTATTTAGGTACAAGAACGCAGACACTGCGCTGAATATCATAACTACTAAAATGACCCATTTGATCGATAAATATATACCCAAGACCAAACCCAGTGCTTCTAGGAATACGAGGGGATCCCTACACATGAACCATGCGGCGGTCGACAAAATTAAGAAGAAAACCCGGAAATTCAAGACGTGGGTTGGGTCAAACGATGAGCAAGACAGGAGAATGTATGCAAGAGCCAGAAACCAAGCAAAGATAGAGCGTAGGAGGGCTGAAAACGAGTTCCAGAGGCTGGTTGCAAGCGAGGTCAAGTCAAACCCAAAGGCGTTTTACCGCTATGCAAAGTCAAAATTGAAAACGCGAGTAGGAGTATCAGACCTGAGGCTGGTGGATGGTAATTACGCAGATTCTGACCAGGATAAAGCTGAGGCAATGAACAGCTTCTTTTCCTCGGTGTTCACAAGAGAGGATGCAACTAACCTTCCTGCGTTTGAGGACAGACGGTTCGACACAGCACTGACCCACATTGTGTTCACAGAAGAGGGTATTAGAAATAAACTGTCCAGGCTAAAGGTCCATAAGAGTCCCGGACCTGACATGGTGCATCCTAGAGTGCTAAAAGAGTTGTGCAACGAGCTTGCAGAGCCCCTGAAGATCCTGTTTTGTAAATGCCTGGATGAACAAATGGTCCCCAGTGAATGGAAAGTGGCTTATGTGAGTCCTATCTTCAAGAAGGGCGATCGTCACTCCACAAATAACTATAGACCGGTGAGCCTGACCAGCATAATATGTAAAGTACTTGAGAGTATTATCAGAGATGCCGCAATGGAACATCTAATACGAAACAACCTTGTAAAAGATTGCCAACACGGTTTTATGCCGAGGCGTTCCTGCTTAACACAATTGCTCAAGGTATTGGATATTTGGACTCATATTCTGGAACGGGGTGGTAATATCGACAATATTTACCTAGATTTTGCCAAGGCTTTCGACAGTGTACCCCACGAAAGGCTGAAAATCAAACTGGAAGGGTACGGAATTCGGGGAAATGTCCTAGTCTGGATAGAAGACTTTCTACATGACCGCATGCAGTGTGTGGTGATTAATGGTACGAAATCGTCATCTGTACCTGTCACAAGTGAGGTACCACAGGGCAGTGTATTGGGCCCGCTGTTGTTTGTTTGTTTCATAAATGACATGCCTGACGTTGTACACTCCTCCATACAAATGTTTGCCGATGACGCCAAGTTATTTCGGGAAATTAAGAACCAAGTGGACTGTGAAGAGCTGCAGAAGGACCTCTGTGGGCTCCAGGAATGGTCGAAGAAATGGCTGCTGAGATTCAATGTCACGAAGTGTAAGCGGATGCACCTGGGGCGTACCAACGGTAAGGAGGCGTATCATATGTCCCAACGGGATGAAGAAACTGCACTAGTTCAGACTGTGTGTGAGAAGGACCTGGGTGTGTATGTTGACAATGAGCTGAGGTTCTCGGGCCATTGTGAGAAGAAGGTAAATCAGGCAAATAAATTATTGGGTCTTATAAGAAGGTCGTTCAGATATCTAGACGGTCCGTCCCTCGTAACGATCTTCAGGAGTGAAGTGCTTCCCCATCTGGAGTACTGTCACCCCATCTGGTCCCCGAGATATGCTAGGGACTGTCAGTTGGTTGAAAATGTTCAAAGGAGGGCCACCAGACTGGTGCCTGCACTTCGGCACCTCAGCTACCCTGAGAGATTGGAGCGCCTGAACTCGCCTAGCTTATACTACAGACGGGCAAGGGGGGACCTAGTTGAGGTGTATAAGCATCTCAGGGGGCACTTCTCAGTTGAGTGACCTTACTTGGAGCTGGCGGACGCTCGGCCCACAAGGGGTCACAGCTCAAGATTGAAGAAGCCGCAAGTCCAGAAACCGTGAGGGCAAACTTTTTTGGAGTGAGGGTTTTAAACTCTTGGAACAATCTACCAGAGAGTGTTGTGACGGCACCGAGTGTGAGCTCTTTCAAGACAAGACTCGACCAACACTGGAGCGGGTTCAGGTTCATTCAGGAGCCGGTGCATACCCAGTATTTGCCAACAGTGCGTGACAGAGACGTGACCGATCGCCCGGGCGGCTAGCGAGCCGATCAGTGGCGAAGAGGATAAAAGAAAGAAAAAAGAAAGGTATTATACTAATGAAAAAACAAACATTCGTGTCTATGCTCAGGGCTTCACTCTTCGCATCAGTGCCAGGCTGAAATTCTCTGAAAACCTCACAGTATTTCCCTGGATACTAACTTTATGGCGCTTCCTCACTTTCACTGTACTCGTGCCCTATACCTTCACTGTATTTCTCTACTTTCATTGACTGACATGCAGAATTAATTAACTACAATAAATCCTATCTCAGGTTTTGAAACAACCGTGACTTGCCTGAAACCCACATACCGATGTACTTATTTTTTTGAGGACTTTGAGCACATAAGGCAATTATTTCGTTATACCTGGCCACAGAAAAGCCTAAGCCTTACGAGTAATCTAAAAAAAAATAATGAAGCAATCAAACGTCAACCAAGGCAAGGCCGTAGCCATTGAACACCATCTGTATACACCAAAACTTTTAAGTGCTAACAAACAGTTGATGAGGTTGACATTTTCCTGTTAAGCATTAAGAGTACATAAACAAAATTTTTAAGGGCCTCCATAGTTCTGTTAAGTTAAAAGACCCTGGAGCACGTTTAAGTACCGTAATAGTCGTCTGTTAGTTGATACCATGGCGAACCATCAACAACGGCAACGCATTTATCGGGAAAGGTGATATATATTTAATGAATATAGTGATTCTGAACTCATCATGCGATACCGACTGGACCGTGCAGATATCATGACAGTGACTGATATAGTGAGGAAAACACTACAAAGTAGAACTGGGAGGAATAGGGCACAAGCTGCCACAATTTTAGTGTCAT